TAGAAAAGGAAATTATCTTTTTATTTTTTTATTAACATATAATGTATTACTTGTTTCAGGGGTACAGGTCTGTGATTCATCAGTCTTACACAATTCATGGTGCTCACCATAGCACATACCCTCCCCAATGTCTATCACCCAGCCACCCCATCCCTCCCACCCCCCTCCACTCCAGCAACCTCAGTTTGTTTCCTGAGATTAAGAGTCTCTTACAGTTTGTCTCCCTCTCTGGTTTCGTCCCGTTTCATTTTTTCCTCTTTTTCCTCCCGTGATCCTCTACCTTGTTTGTCAAATTCCACATATCAGCGAGATCATATGATAATTGTTTTTCTCTGATTGACTATTTTGCTTAGCATAATACCCTCCTCTAGTTCCATCCATGTCGTAGCAAATGGCAAGATTTCATTTTTTGATGGCTGCATAATATTCCTTCATATATATATATATATATATATACCACATCTTCTTTATCCATTCATCTGTCGATGGACATTTAGGCTCTTTCCGTAGTTTGGCTATTGTGGACATTGCTGCTATAAACATCGGGGTGCATGTACCCCTTCGGATCACTATATTTGTATCTTTGGGGTAAATACCCCGTAGTGCAATTGCTGGGTTGTAGGGTAGCTCTATTTTCAACTTTGTGAGGAAGCTCCATACTGTTTTCCAGAGTGGCTGCACCAGCTTGCATTCCCACCAACAGTGTAGGAAGGTTCCCTTCTCTGCATCCTTGCCAATATCTGTTGTTTCCTGACTTGTTAATTTTAGCCATTCTGACTGGTGTAAGGTGGTATCTCATTGTGGTTTTGATTTGTAGGAAATTATCTTTTTAAAGCAAAGCTTTGTTTTTCCTGAAGTATTATATTAAATTTCTATTAATGTATTAAGCAGGTTTGGCAGGGTAGAACTTCAGTTAAAAAAATTTAAATAAGGAGAGTTAACATTTAAAAACATTTATGTCAGCGTGCTTGGCTGATACTGTCCATTGAGTAAGCTGTGGCCTAGTAGAAAACACCCAAGCTAGGCTCTTAATCAGTTTGGCTGACAGATCACTGCCCTTGACTCAGCCATCTTGCCTATAACGTGAAGCTGCCCATCAAATGAAGGGGTCAGACCAGATGACCCCTGAGGCCTTCTCTACTTCTAATATCCTGTATGTCTGTGAAGTTAATCCATAATCATTTTAGACTACTTGTCTTTTCATGAAAAAAAGTTAATTTTTGGAAATTAAGTAAGATACCCTCCTTTGTATACTAAGTATTTCTTGATATAGTCCTTGTCAAGATGAAAACTATGCAATTCATTTCCTAAGCAGATAGAGAAATAAAACTGAAGAATGCCAAAGTTTTTTGTTCACCCAGCTAAGAAGTTAAAACATTTTATAAAAGTAGATAAGTAGAAGTAGTGGTTATTCTAGGCATCCTTGAGCTATGACAGTGAGTGTTGGTAGGAGAGACAAATATGATGAAGTTGGCACTCACATTGGGACTTGCTTAAAGTTCACATGAAAAGAGATTTATTAGACCCTATCCAGTTCTTTTTGTCCCCTTCTGGTCAATGAACCTTTTCCTTTTCTAATTTTTTAGGAAATTTTGTTACCTAATTTTGTTATCTTTTTTTTTTTAAAGATTTTTTATTTATTTATCTGAGAGAGAGAATGGGAGACAGAGAGCATGAGAGGGGGAGAGGGGGAGGATCAGAGGGAGAAGCAGACTCCCTGCGGAGCAGGGAGCCTGATGCGGGACTTGATCCCGGGACTCCAGGATCATGACCTGAGCCGAAGGCAGTTGCTTAACCAACTGAGCCACCCAGGCGCCCCTAATTTTGTTATCTTTAAAAAAAGTTTTTGGGGGCACCTGGGTGGTTCAGTCAGTTGGGCGTCTGCCTTCGGCTCAGGTCATGGTCCCAATGACCTGGGGTCGAGCCCTGCATCGGGCTCCTTGCTCTGCGGGGAGCGCCCTTCTCCCTCTCCTCCCTGCTTGCACTCCCTCAATCTGTCTCAAATAAATAAATAAAATCTTTAAAAAATAAAAAAATAAAAAATAGTTGTTCATGAAGTCATTGGCCTTATGTCCAAATAGTATAAATTTGTGAAATGTTCCTGCATATTTTTGGTTTGTTAGTCTATTCTGAATTTATGTAATATGTAATGCCAAGCAAGAATCTGTAAAGTACAGTAAAATAATGCACAAGACAAAGGTATTAAAAATGATAGTATATATTGTTATGTGCTGTGAGTATGTGAAAAGGATATTATACCACTTTTTATAGTATTGCTTTATGTGGTTATCTCCAGCCTTTTTGGCAATATCTCTGCAAAACTTTTTCAGCATGCATCTTCAAAATGTGCATCTCATTTATTTATGAATTACTTATGGGAACTACTGCTATTAGCTAATATTTCAAGTATATCACAATATACTTAGGGTGAGGCTTTTCATTTATCGTAGTCTTACGTAACCACAAAGCTAATAGACTTACTGATGATTTTCCTCTGTTTTGGCCAAGCTCTTGTCAGATCTGATTAAATCTGTCATTATTTTTACCTTGTAATGTATAGAAAGCTTTTACTCGGAGTAGAAGCGTCAGCTCTGTGACCCCATGTTACTTACATTTGCGTTTGTATTATCATCTTTAATCTGCAGGTTCCTTGCATACATCCTGCCCATCTGGGAATGTTTTTAGTCAAAGGGTACGCATCACAATCTGTAGCTCGATCTGGCAGGCCCGTCACTGTGCATTTCTGTGCACTCAGAGCAAATGAACAGAGAGCATGAGCCTCACCCCCTCCGCGTGTGGAAGTTCCTCTCTTCCTGGAGGGCGTCTCAGATCCAACAGGACAAGGTCCTCTGTGGAGCTGACTGAGGGCACAGTGCCAACCCAGAGTTAAATACCAGCTACGATGCTTTCCTTTGTAAAGAAAATAAACATAAATGGAGGTTCCCATATCACAATAGGTTGTATGTACATATCTACATAAACCTCACAATTTTTGAGACCAAAGTTGACAAAAATCTCATTTTTTTTTCTTATTTAAATCTTACCTCTTATATTGTGGCTTTGCTTTTCTTTTGTTTTTTGTTCACCCAGCTAGCTCTTAGAACAGAGTCTGGCTCATGTTTCTTTCAGTCTTCCTTTGTGTTTTGCACGTAGTAGGTGAGCATAAGAATACACATACACACGTTTCACTCTAAAATGAGCTCCAGGAACGTTTAGTAGTCATTGCTTTATTGTCTTGCTGAGGATGGGTGGCATATATCTTTTTTTTTTTTTCCTTTTTGGTAGTTTCAACAAACTGTTTGCTTGGGCCCAATGGGTTTCTTGTTTGTAGCATCTAAATAGAGTCATACTGCATATTTAAACTATATTCTCTAATTTGCAAAACTAAATTTTTTTGCTCTTATTCTACTGTGTTAGCCATTCATCTCAGAATGTTGCTACTACTGACTCATAGAACATTTTTTCCTTCATTATTTATGTCCCTGATAAAAACATTAATTTTAACTATCTACTATCTACATTAATCTACTATCTGAGCATTTTTATGTACCTGCATGATGAAGTGGATTGGACAGTTCAGGCCTGTGAGGAATAAGGTGGACAGGGGTAAGTTCTTGGTCCATGAAGTGTGGCAGGAGTGTGGCACCTTTCATTGGTTTATTGATGCCACATTAAGAAGATGTTCATAAAGGAGTCCCACTAACTGCCTCCAGGGATGTCTCTAGAAGTAAAGAGAAACAACCAAGAGTCATTCCCATCTTGAGAGAAGCTGTATCATTTTCTTGATGGAACAGAAGAGTGTCCTCAATCCTAGCTATACAACAAAGTCCCCTGGGGGCTGTACAGAAATTCTAAGGCCAGTTAGAATCTCTGGTGTGGCACCAGCCATCTGTTTTTTTTTTTTTAAGTAGGCTCCATGCCCAGTGTGGAGCCCAAAAGGGGGCTCGAACTCACGACCCTGAGATCAAGACCTGAGCTGAGATCAAGACTCGGGCACTTAACTGACTGAGCCACCCAGGCACCTCAGCCATCTGTATTTTTAAGAGCTCCCCGGGTGATTCCATTGCACAGCCAAGGTTGAGAGTAATAGTTCAAGACGCAAAAAAGCTGATTAGGTCAATGGAAGGAAAACAAAAAGCGTAAGTCTCAGTAAAGGTGAAGGGACACAACAGTAGAAAAGAAGTTACCCCACGATAACATGGAAAAAGTTGGGAAAATATGGAACAATTTTGTAGCTTCAAGTTGAGGTAGGAATAGACATCTTCCCTTGACTCCTAATGATCACGCAGTGAGAGTTAAGATGTTGGCTCTGAGAACCAAAGGTTTATAAATTGATCTAAGAATGTCCGAAGGGCTTTGAGGCCTTGGGCTTTGGAGGATGGAGGCTCATTGACAAACACCTCCAAGTTTAGATGATCTTTGGGGGCCTTTTGACCTGTGGATATTTTACCCTGGAGTGTGCACTTGCACACCAGTGCTCTCATCTGGCCTAAGGATACTTTACACCCTGTTAAGAAACCTTATGCTTGGGCGCCTGGGTGGCTCAGTCGGTTAAGCGACTGCCTTCGGCTCAGGTCATGATCCTGGAGTCTCTGGATCGAGTCCCGCATCGGGCTCCCTGCTCAACGGGGAGTCTGCTTCTCCCTCTGACCCTCCCCCCTCTCATGCTCTCTCTATCTCATTCTCTCTCGCAAATAAATAAATAAATAAAATCTTTAAAAAAAAAGAAAAAGAAAAAGAAACCTTATGCTTAGAAGGTTTATTTGGTTTTAAAGATGTGCCAGGGCTCTTGGCCTAACAAAGAAAGATAAAACGAATCTGTTTTCACCTGTGCCACTCTTTTGGTCTTTCTCACAAATTACCTTGCTTTTCTGAGAAGAATATACACTTGAGCCAGTTGTGGGAGGGCGCGGAGCCTTCCTTTCCTGTAGTTCCGGGGTCTGGTGAAGCACCAACTGAGCATTTGTCAGTGACCCCTGCGAACTCCGCTTCTGTTGTAGGAAGCAGTGCAAGTATTGATTAAGCACTCGGCTGATGTCAACGCGAGGGACAAGAACTGGCAGACCCCCCTCCATGTGGCGGCTGCCAATAAGGCCGTGAAGTGTGCAGAAGTGATCATCCCCCTGCTGAGCAGCGTCAACGTCTCTGACCGAGGGGGGCGCACAGCCTTGCACCACGCTGCTCTGAATGGCCACGTGGAGGTGAGTGTCCTCATCACTGGGAGCAAGAAATCTCCCTAGAGCCTCTCTTCACCCCCAGTGGAACCTAATCTTACTGCTGAGTGTGAAGCTACTATCTGCACGCCAAACCTCAGGCAACAATAGCCCATTTTAAATGTACAGCCAGTGGGTTGCCAAAGTAGCTGCCTCCTCGGGCTTCTCCGCTGACATACGTGCCACAGGGCTGTCTGTGATGTCAGCTTCCTACTGTGTTTGAACTCCGGGTCACTGACCTGCCTTTGGATTTGATGTTAATTTGACTCAGATTATCTGCATGTTGGTTTTCTTTCAGATGGTCAATTTACTCTTGGCCAAAGGAGCAAACATCAACGCATTTGACAAGAAGGACCGGCGTGCTCTGCACTGGGCGGCCTATATGGGTAAGGGTTCCTGCAGACGACTGTAGCTAAAGAAGCTGTGGGCCTGTCGCGAAGCATGTAGGTTTTCCCTTTGTGCACGCCTGACTTCTTTCCAAGCTTGGGGCCCAATTGAGTGAAGATTTGGTCCACTTGACTGGCAAGCATAGAGCACTCTAGTTAGACAGTTGCTCTGTCAGAGACTGATTTTACCCCACAGGGAGGAGGAGGGATGAGTCATGGCCTGGACCTCATTGAATGTGTTTCAGTCCGGACGGGAAAGCTGCACAAAATGGTGCTTCTTTTAACTTGTTATGGCAGCAAAATAAAGTGTTTTTTAAAAAAAAAAACAAGGACTGGCTAGCAAAGCCAGGACATAAATTCTATATGTCCTTTTATTTAAAAGTGTTTTTGAAAGAAACAAAAAGGAAGGAAGGACCACCCTCTGGCTGATGGGTAGGTTGAAGTGACAAGAGTAACCGTGGATCCTCCTGCTACTCTCCTGCCAGTGAACCTGGCCTTGCAGGTCTCGCTTCTGCCAGCTGGGCTGGGAGACATGAAGGAAGGAGTTACATTTCTATGTTGTTTTTTTTCCACTTTTGTTGGTGCAAGTGCCACTGACAAATGATAGGCCTCATTGAGTTTATTCTTGGTGTAGACTTGTGAGAAATGAAGAACTGGGATCCTTCCTTTGTGTTTGTAACCGGAGAATGTCCTGCAATTGGAAAAGCAGGTGGGATTCTACCAGCCCCATGTTATAAACCACCTGAATGCCCATCCCCCGGAGATTGTGTTGGTTAATGATAAAGAACTGCCCAGTGGGACACTGGGCAGTAACTACAGTGATGATGTCATTAGTCTTTATTAACATCGAAAGATTCTGTGTTATGTTAAGTAAAAACAGATCATAATAGCATGGGTTATATGGTCCTCATTTTTGTAAAAGAAATCTGCAATATAGACAATCTGGGATATATTATATGCTGAAATGTTAGCTGAGTATCTCAAGGGATTGGCTATATGGATGGTTTTGGTTTCCTTTTAACACCTTTTTGCCTTTTCTGAATCCTTTTTAACAAACATACAGGCCTTTTATTATCATGAACAACAATAACGTTAATGGTGGGGGGGGAGAAAGAGAACGGGTTGGGTAGGGATGAAATAAATTATGAGGCTATGGATGAGTCTGAATGGATATTTGGGCTTAAAAAACCAAACTCTTAAGATTTTGCAAGCATTATCATTTTTTTTTTTTAAAGACAATGTGGACTTTGGAGCTGACGGAAGCAGATTGGATGTCTGCATGGTACCTACGGGACTGGAATCAGGGGACATTGGCCAGACTGCTGTTTAGGCAGAGCACACACTAGACTAGTGTGTGATGGGACGCAAAGAGCCTGGGGTTTCAAGTTTGTTCTTTGCTGATGTACAGTTAAAACATTTGTGTAGAATTGCTTTAAAGAAGTAAAGTTGTTGTTTTGTTTGTCATCAGGATACAAATAGGAAAAAATACATAGATGACTATCTTTAAGGAATAAAGGACAAAACCAGGACAAAAGACAAAAGATAGCACCACTTAAGCTAAGATAGCCCCACTAGTAATTGAAAATAATTTTTCTACATACAAGTTTTGGGGGAAAAAGTCAAATTTTAATAAAACAAGCCATGACCAAGCTCTTTCTCTCTCATACACACACCCAACTCTCTCCCCCCTCCAAACATACCTCTCTCTCCATCTCTCTCTTTCTCACACACACACGTACACACACTCACACTCAGCCCCATGCACATCTTAGATCCTTGGAATCAGTACTTATCTTCTACCCCTCAATTATCAACCACATTTACAGCAGTGACCCAAAGCATCAAACAATCTTCAGTCACAATATAGAGGTCAAATACATTTATCGTACTATATATAGTAAGATAGGGTACAAAGGAAAATATTCTAGAAAATATGCCAACAGGAGTTGAAACTGGAAATGTTTCTGTTTAGCCAGTAATTCCTAAGAATACTTTTCAGTTGAACCATATGAAATTGTCATCTTTATGGTCCAAAAAAAAAAAAGTCAAGCAACAGCGATTTCATATGATTTAACAATAATGTAGTGGTATTGTGATTAATTAATTTTTTTTCTTTCATTAATTTTTCCAAACCAAATTGTCACTGTTGGACTTTAAGGAATGGGAAATGCTTTTAAAAGCATTGCTTTCATTTTAACATAATTCTTTTTTAGGCTGTGGTACTAACATATTGGCAGGACCTTGTTCTTATTTAAAATGTTGGTGGTAGTAAAAGCTAATGGTGATAATGTAGGTGGAATCAGTCATCAAATTATCCTAAAAAGGCTACCCGTGTTTTCTGCTGCTTTGTTTGTGAAGGCCACCTGGATGTTGTAGCGCTGCTCATCAACCACGGCGCAGAAGTGACGTGTAAGGATAAGAAGGGTTATACCCCTCTGCACGCTGCAGCCTCCAATGGACAGATCAATGTTGTCAAACACCTCCTGAATCTGGGGGTGGAGGTGAGCTGTGATGAATGCATCAATTCACGGTATATTTGTGGGTTTTCTAATGTTTGGTTTGGTTTTTTTTTTTTAAGATTTTATTTATTTATTTGAAAGAGAGCACGAGAGACAAAGCACACAAGCAGGGGGAGTGGCAGACTCCGCGCTGAGCAGGGAGCCTGATGCAGCATTCCATCCCAGGACCCTGGGATCATGACCTGAGCTGGAGGCAGCCGCTTAACTGACTGAGCCACCCAGGCGCCCTGTGGGTTTTCTGTTATTCGGAAATTAAATCCTGTTTGCATTTTAATTTAAGAGGGTAAAAACCTCCTTATTTTCTAGCATCCTATCTTTTTGAGTTTCCAGGGGCAATTGATGAAGGGCAGTGGGGACCTACAGCAAGTAATGAAAAACCAGAAACAGGCTAAGTTTCTATATCAACATAGAGAAATATTTAAACATATATATTGCATGTAATACATATTAGTCATTTTTTAGACGGGCTAGGGTTCTTCATCCTACCTTCAGCATTTAGCCTTCTAAATTGTGGTGTACGGGGTGCCTGGATGACTCAGTCAGTTAAGCATCTGATTCTTGATTTCGGCTCAGGTCATGATCTTGGGGTCCTGGGATCGAGCCCCACATCAGGCTCCATGCTGAGCATGGAATCTGCTTAAGAGTCTCTCTCTCCCTCTGCCCCTCCCACCCCCCCCAACAGCAAACGCAATAAAGAGACTCCAGTGATTTTACCTGCCCTCTCTTGGATTCATTTACAGATCGACGAAATCAACATCTATGGAAACACGGCCCTTCACCTGGCCTGCTACAATGGGCAGGATGCTGTAGTTAATGAGCTGACTGACTATGGTGCTAACGTGAACCAGCCCAACAACAGCGGGTTCACCCCTTTGCATTTTGCTGCTGCCTCCACACACGGTGCTTTGTGTCTTGAACTATTAGTAAACAACGGGGCAGATGTTAACATCCAGGTACGACACTCTTAGTCTCTCTCTCTGCTAGATACCTCTGCATTGAGCCTCTGTTTGAGCAAAATCAACTCTTGTAAATGGTGTCCTGTTTTAGAATCGGAACTCTGAGTGCCTTGACTCCCACAGCCTTGTCCTATATTGGCCTGCTATGGAAACTTAGCTGTGTTGTTACTGCAGAAGTGGTAGGACCAGCTGGAAGGCACTGAGGTTCTAGCCACCTGCTTTTGGTAGCTTAGTGAATGTTCTGGAGCAAAGACTGGGTCCCAGGGATATTGACGTGGCCTAGTTTCTAACACGGAGGTGGATGTTGAGCTGATATGGCAGAGCTGCTGAGAATCAAAGGAAAGCCTAATCCAATGATCTCAGGTCTGTTCCTAACCCTGGCATGGCCCACCAAGGAGTTTCTCAGACACTTTCCAGTAGTAAACCCTAGGTAGTGACTGTAGTAACGTAACATTGACCTAATAGTGGTCAGCTGGTCCTAATAGTCTTTATTCAGCAAACTTACTGAGGACTATCTAGTGCCCTCTGTTTGGTTCTGAGGGAGCACTCCAGGATGAGCTATGAGCTCTGCTCTCAAGGAGTTTACAGTACGGTAAAGAAATAGTGTGCTCCGCTGCTCATGAGACAAGAGAGAATGTAATGAGTGGCGTGAGAGAGTAAGAGTATTGCAAACTATAAGAAGCAAGTCAACACTTGCTTCCTGCTTGGGGATCAAAAGTGATGCCTGCTTTTGAGCTGAGAGTCGGAAGATTGGTATCAGTTGAGATGAGAAGAGATAGAGTCTGAGAGAGGGCATTTCAGATAGAGAGAACCGCATGAACAAAGGGTTTGGGAGTTCCAGATAGGAAAAGCTCTGGGCAGACTCTAGGCTAGTAGTTAGCGCACTGTAACAGATAACCAAGAGGAACTTAGGCACTGCCCTCACCATCCAGGTTACATCACTTTGAACGCATTTAGGTTGTAGTGGAATATCCTCACCTGCACAAGGGACTTTGTGCTCATCCTCAGCTTCCCTTCTCCCCAGCATGCAGCAATCCTAAAGCAGGTCCCAGTGTATTCTGTCTCTGCTTTTGAAAAATGATTCTTTCTGAGATTTAATTTTAAGAATATTGGGTCAATCCATTCTAATGACCTTCCCTATTCACTATTAAAATCTTTTTACATTTTTTCTTATAATTTCTAATAGTGGGGAAATACGAGACAAATTTTCAGAAGAGCAATTTATTGAGCTTGAAGGGAGCAGAAATTATATGAAAGAAAGGAGCCAGGAACAAGCTGAAATATGACCGGACCAAGGAAGAAGGCTTATCAACTGGCTGAGGGGTTTGGACTTCTATAAGCTGCGGGGACCACTAGTCATTATAGAGGTCATGTGATCCAGACTGAGCATAGAAATAGTAATCTGGTCACAGAACACCAGAGACAGAAAACAGGAAGGAAAAAAATTGTATATATGATGACATAAACATTTTAAATGTTTATATGGCAAAACAAAACAAAAAAATACAAAAAACAAAAAACCCTAACATATACAAAATTGAAAGAGGACCAACTCAGGGAAATGTTTCTGCATTATACATGATGAGCAGAGTTAATACGTTTAATATATAAAGAGCTCATATAAATCAATAAGAAAAAGTCTGATAACCTACTAGAAAATACGTGTAAAGGCAGGTCACAAGAGAGCGAAAACAATATCCATTAAACCTATGAAAAATATACAGTATCATTAGTAATTAGAAAAATGCAAACTAATGCACAAGTATATTTGCCTTTAAGGTTGGCAAATATGAAAAAGACTAGTAATACCTAGTGTTATCTGTGAAAAAATTAATATGCAATAAGTAAATATGACCTAATATTTAATTTTTAAAAAGTTATGTGTCTGGGTTATATGCATAGAAAGAGAAAAATACTAGGAATATATACCAATATATTATCACTGCAGAGAGGCAAAATTATGATTTGGATTTTTAGTTTCATTTTTATATATTTGTTTTAATCTTCTGATTGTGATACATAAGCATGTGTTATTTTTATATCCAGGTGAAAAAAAAAATTTTTGTTTTTATAAAAAGAAAATTCAGGTATAATGGACCTAGACAGAGGATACAATTAGAGAATAACTGGAAGTCGGTAAAACGTCTAGATAAGAGGTACTGAGGACAGGGGAGGGGGACAGCCAACAGAAGACAGAGGCTTTGCAGAAAGAAAATCAATGAAATTTGGTTGGATAGGAGTTGGAGGAGTTGAAGACAAGTGTAAGAACCAAAATCTGATTCAGAGGTGACAGAGCATAGGGCTTAAGTGTTCAGTTCTGAGTCTGGGCTGCCTCGATTCCAGTCCTAGCCTTGACTTTCAGTAATTATATAATCAGAAACAACCTCTCTTGGGTGTCTGTTTGTCTGTAAAATTTGGGAAATAGTAGCATCTTCTTCATGGAACCGCTGTGAGGATTAAACCAGTTATCTTATAGAAACTACTTAGAACGGTTTCTGCCACATGGCAAGCACTCAATAAACGATTATCGTTGTTAAGAGGGACATCAAGAGAAAGAATAGGCTTACAAGGTAAAACTGTTAAGTTTTTTTGTTTTTTTTTAAAGATTTATTTATTTGACAGACGCAGCGGGAGAGGGAACACAAGCAGGGGGAGTAGGAGAGGGAGAAGCAGGCTTCCCGCGGAGCAGGGAGCCCGATGTGGGACTCCATCCCAGGACCCTGGGATCATGACCTGAGCCCAAGGCAGACACTTAACAACTGAGCCACCCAGGCACCCCTGTTAAGTTTAGTTTTTGAGCAGGTGATTTTGAGCCTTTAGTACAGCCAGTCTGAGAAAAACAATGATGGAACATGTGACCCTCCAGCATGGGAGAGCAGAAAAGAATAGAAGAAAAAACTTAGGCTGCCTCATTCACACAGGTGCAGGATCTTGGAAGCTGGAAAAGGATGAGGTCACCCAAGGAGAGAGTACGTCATAGCATGAGTAGAGAAAGGGATGGAGGGTGCCAGGGTCCATTTAGTCTTAGGATCGGGAGGAAGAGGAGGAAGAACCAGAAAACAGATGAAAAAAGAAGAGTTAAAGAAAATAGAAAGGAAATGGAGGGGAGTACAATGTCTTCATGGAGGTAGAGAACAGGCAGAAATGAAGAAGCAGAATAGATAAAAAGAGAATTTCAGAGTTCCGTATCTTGTAAGTGGAGCCCATCCAAGGTCCTAAATGGGGGTAAGGGAAGGTCTACGGGGGCATCAAGGAGATCAAAGAACTGTAACCCGAGGTAGGAAGAGTCATTGTATAGTGTTGAAGTCACAGAGGATGGTGGTGAGAAGACAGGAGGTTAACAGGTGGCCGAACTGGCAGTGTCCCCGAAACTTGTGATGCTTGTAATGCCATGCTGGTATCTGAAGGACATCCTCCAATTCTCCAAAGAAAGGAAAAGTATTACTGAAGTTAAATAAAGTAGCTCTCTTCACCAGCCCTCACTTAATTAATTCAGGGGGTTTTCTGATGCTCTCCATTCCCCTTTTGAAAGCATGCTGACTAATGCTCTGTGTGCCTGACAGCAAGGCTAGAAAGCCACTTTCTGGAACACCCACCTACTCCCCCCAGTTACCTGACCCAGTGCTCTGTTCAGAGTAGTTTAGGGACTCCAGCTATATATGGAGTGTATGGCAGTTTATGGCAGCCTTGTCCCCCATAAAATGGAACTGGAAAGCATGGCTCCTTAATTTTAATAATTGATTTTCCCCCATAGACTGCTAATCATCAGTAGAATATGAGAAATACCTTTTTTTAAAATCTGAGACTTAGGTTTATATATTATCTGATCTACATAAATGGGACTTTGGTTAAAATCTAGCCTTCTCCCTCAGTCTCCTTTCATCTCCTCTGTTTACATCCTCTGGTTTCCTTCTCTTGAATCCTCCTTCACGATTCCTGATGCACTCTGGAGGCACGGATCGTCTACCATTTCCGTGGAGCCATTTTGTCTGACTCTGGATGTGGCTTTCTAATTGAAGTTGTTATCTCTCTGTACCATATTGCTCCTTGGATTTTGAAAGTGTTTGTAGATCACAAGGCAATTTGTATTTGTTTAGATTTTCTGAAGTTTGGGGGAAAGAGCATATTGAAACGTAACCAGTACCCACCCACATGTTCACTTTGTTTTCCTCTATCCTCACAAAATACTAAAAGTGATGTCTTCATGAGCAATTACAAGACAATGGAGAGAGAAGGAAGGATGTGTGTCCTGCGCACATTTTACAATCCTTCACTTTCCTTAGATTGACCATGGCCCTGTCTCCGACTTTGTAATGTTGGTTTAATTGTGATAAGTAATAAAGACACAATACTTTTTTTTTTTAGATTTTATTTATTTATTTGACAGAGAGATAGAGAGACAGCACAAGTAGGCAGAGTGGCAGGCAGAGGGAGAGGGAGAAGCAGGCTTCCTGCTGAGCAGGGAGCCCAATGCGGGGCTTGATCCCAGGACCCTGGGATCGTGACCTGAGCCGAAGGCAGCCGCTTAGCCGACTGAGCCACCCAGGCGCCCCAAGACACAATACTTTATACAATAATCCACTGAAGGTTCACTTGTATTTTGCAAATAGGAAGAGCATGAGAAGATACAAAATAATTTTTCTTCTCCATTACAGACTACATTGTAATACCTGTAACATCCCAAAACTCTTTCTAGAAGTGTTCAAAATGTTAAAGAAGGCACTAAATACATAGCTCTTCCAAATACTGCTTAGATGGATTTAGAAATTACCCTTGCCTGGTTGCCTACCTCCCGGTCACTAACATTCAGACTGCCCATGGTCTGAATTCTTTCTGTCCCTGGGCCCTTAGGTGAGCAGGTGTAGACGTTGTAATAGACGTTGTAAATGGTGAACCATTTGCAAAATTGGACTATGTATGGCTTTTTTGCAAATTAGGGTTTTAGATTGCTCTTCCCTTGAATTAGGAGGCCCTGTTGGGCTTCTGACACATTTCCCCTAACCCCCTGCAGGCTGGCTCTCTTGCCTTCTAGTAAGGCCACTGAGCTGTGTGACTCCAGGACGCCCATGCCACAGACAACACAATGCCTTCAAGTTCCTGGGTGGTAACAATGTCTTTGAGTTTAGGGAAGGTTTGGGGGATGTTGGAGGATGAGGAAAGAAGGCATTTGGTGTGGAAGACATGAATGGATTTCTGAGGAGAATGGTGGTGAAGGAAATTGAAACACTCCATTTAGTTCAAGGATTAATCTTCCTTGAAGGATGCTAAATTCTGCCCTGAAAGAGTACTGATATTCGTAAAATATTCTTAGTCTTTTTTGGTTTTCCTTCATGACCATGGCTGAGCCATGCCTAAATCAATAGAAGGGCTTCTTGCGTAATTAAAAAAACCTCAAAATAACAAAATTTTCCGAGTCCTAACTCTGATGGGAAAATGAGTCTAGAAATGGGAAGGAGACTAGAAATTAAGAAAAAATCTTATAAAAGCAAAGCTTTGAACAAATGGAAGAATTGAACATATCCTCTCCTTTGACAACGCAATGAATATTTTATCCTTGTCTGAAGTTCTTAAAACAGCAGTAACAGCAAGTCCCCCCCATGTGACAAATTTCTCAGGCAGATAATGAAACTCAGTAGGATTCCTAGTCTCAACCTGAATATCCTGAGTTCTAACTAGTAAAGACTAAATAAAAAGTATTATCCTTTGACCTTCATTAGTTTCCAATGGCTTTTTGAAATAGCAAGTTCCTTTTACATCCAAACCATGTAAGCACAACTGTTCCAAAATGGCTCCATGATATTCTCAGTGCTTCCTGTCCCCACCTCCCCCACCTTCTGCCACTATATCCCTCAGGGGAAAAAATCAGCTCAGGACTGGACTCGGTGATAGGTGAACCCAGGCAAAGATAGATCTGATATAGCTGTCCTTTGTATTTTACCAAAATTTGGTTGTCTGTTTATTTGTCCTTTTACCAAAGGCACAAGCACTCCATGGGAGAAAAGGGTGTGGTGTTTGTACCCCAGCTTTGTAAACTGCATACCACAGAAACTGGTTACTTCTGCTTTGGCTCTCTGGCTGCAATTTAGGTAGTTACTACCAAGTTGGTGGTTATTCCCTGGTAAAGCCTTTAAGCTGTTTTCTAGACATGGAAAAGTGCTTAGCTAAATATTTATAAAGATATTATCTAAGCACTGAAATATTTATGGCTTTATATATATTTAACTAAATGCTAATTAGTTATGTTTTCGATTAAATTTAAGAGAAAATACTGGAGCAAAATTTAAAGAAATAGCACCACCTAGGGACAGGTTAATGTCAACTCGGCGATTTCTGTAATTGTGTTCCCTTTCTCTTGGTTGCTGCTCCTTTTCCTCTAAAAATACCATTTCAGTAAAGCTTCAAGCTTACTTCCATCTTCCTTTCTCAATCTTTTCTGACTCTGGTTATAATCATATTAGATGAGAAAAGATCCTATTTCCCCCCCCCCATCTACCTGATGACTTTTCACTATAAAGATTCGATGCACTTAACCCTTCTGATTAACTCTTTCCTTGGCAAAGATTGTGCACAACTCCTTTCTTCCTTTCTAAGGAATAGACTTACAGGATATAATAAAAATTCTTCTGTTAAACCCTTGTTGTTTTATAAGCTGTTCCAGCCCCCTCAGTCTAAAGCAGTGGCTCCTAAACTTTAATGTGCTGTGCAGGTTAGAAATGGGGATCCCTTTATCCCAGTTCTGATTCAGTGGTCTGGGTTAGGGCACAGAACTCACATTTCTAACAAGAGCCCCAGGTGGTTTAGATGCAATTAGTCCTTGGTTCACTCTGAGAAGTACTTGTTCAAATGATTATTTGTTCCCATTTTGAAGTCATTTTTTAAATGTTTTTTAGGTTGCTATGTTTTCCTTTTTTTAAATTAAGATAGTTTCTTGTTTGAATATAGTCGACATACAATGTTTTAGCTGTACAATATATTAGTTTCAGGTGTACAATATAGTGATTCACTTTCTCTAGATGTTGTGCTGAGCTCACTGCAAGTGTAGCTCTCATCTGTCACCATACGAAGCTCTTGCAGGATCATTGACTCTATTCCCTGTGCTATGCCTTTTATTCTCTGACTGGAAGCTTGTGTCTCCCTCTCCCCTTCACCCATGTTGCCTATCTCCCTACCCCCTTTCCTCTGGCAACTATCAGTTTCTTCTCTGTATTTATGAATCTGTTTCTGTTTGTTGTTTTGTTTATTCATTTGTTTTGTTTTTTAGATTCCACATATGCGTGAAATCATATGGTATTTGTCTTTCTCTGTCTGACTTATTTCACTTAGCATAATACCCTCCAGGTCCATCCATGTTGTCACAAATGGCAAGATCTCATCCTTTCTATGGCTGCATAATATTCCTGTGTGTGTGTGTGTGTGTGTGTGTGTACGCAATACATCTTCCATATCCATTCATCTGTCGATGGACATGTAGGTTGCTTCCACATCTCAGCTATTACAAGTAACACTGCAGTAAACATAAGGGTGCATATATGTTTTCGAATTAGTGTTTTCATTTTCTTCGGGTAGATACCTGGTAGTGGAATTACTAGATCATATGGTATTTCTGTTTTTAAGTTTTTGAGGAACGTCCATACTGTTTTCCACGGTGGCTGCACCAGTCTGCATTCCCACCAACAATGCATTTTAAAGCACAGGTATATGGGTTTCATTACAAAAATAAACCTGCATTTTTGAAATCTCATATTTAACCTTAGACTTTGGAAAATGTTTCTCCTGAGAGTTAGAAAAATAATAGCTACATCTATTTCTTCCTTTTTTTTTCTCTTTTATTAACAGTACCTGAATGAAAGGATGCACTCTGTCTATGGGGGATACTTAATATTTTCTTTTGGGTATTACTATTTTTAGATGAAATTCTATAAATGACTGTTTCTTAATAAATGTGTAGGACTTTAGTATTTGGTGTAATGATGATCAGTCTATAGATTCTATACATTTTTCATGTTTTGGCTTAATCTATATTGGGGAGTTCCATTATTTATATTTTAAATAATAAAGAGATGTATGAATTCAGCACATTCCCAGGGGATCATTAAAATGGCCATTTGCTAAACCATTGTATGTCTTAATCTTATGATTTCTAATGACTTAATTGAAGCAAGCGTTTCTGTTCTGGAACAACTAGAAGTGTCATTTTCTATGGAATCAGAATGCAGGGAGTGGTGGAATGCTTCAGGTCCATTCTGAGAGCTACAGTTATTCATAGCAGTTCAATCAACTTCAGGTTGGACAGGACCAAGCCAGTTAGCACATCATTTGTCTTTACTCGTATACTTCAGACAAAAGTTGAAAAAAAAAATGCCTTGAAACCATCTTCATCAGTAAATCACAAGAGAGAAAAAAGCATTTTGGATGATTGCGTCAGTTTGAAACAGGGTAGTTTAAAAATTGTCAGTGTAACTAGAAATTTCACATTTCTTCTCTAAAATAATTTTTACCTCTCTAAGCTTCTTTACAATGGGATGTTAGGAAGTAACTTGAGATATTATATATGCTTTTTCTTTTGCTTTCAAAATTATCTTTTACCTTTTTAAGTTTTTATTACACTTTTAAAAACATCTGAATTGACATTTTATTTTCAGGGCATTGATAGTAGTATCCATAGGGATGTTTCAGATTGACGTCACTGATCCATTGTTTCTCTCCCCCTCGTTTTTTAGAGTAAAGATGGCAAAAGTCCACTGCACATGACAGCTGTCCATGGAAGGTTCACACGGTCACAAACCCTCATTCAGAATGGTAAGAGAGATCCTTCCACAGTGTTGTTATTTAGACAGTGTCCTGATCTGAGTGTGGCTGTCAGTTATCTGAACATGAAAGATGATGCTCTGTTTTAGATTACAGTCTGTTTTATTAAGCTTAGATTTACACCATCTTTTGATGCACTTTGCTAAAAGCTCTTTTTCAAACATATCACCATCCAGCTTAGGAGCGAGAACATCAAGCCACTGTTCCTCAGTTAATTCCTAGTCAGTCAAAGAACATATGATTTTGAAACTGGAAATGATGTACTTATATAGGCTTAAGGTCCTGAACTTTTCACTCCGAAACTAATACAGATAACTGTCATACATTTTCTAGCAGCAAATCTGAATTATTTTTAAGCTTTAGAATTCACCATAGTTTTCTAAGTTAAAACTCTTTAAGCTACTTGGGTAAAGGTAGGAAAAACGAGGTGAGTCAGAGGAAAAGCAGTTAAGTGCATGATATAAAAGATGATAAAGTCACAGGCTTGATAGAGACCTTGGAAAGTCACATAATCTAGTAATTTTCCAGGCTCACAACAAAGGTATACTTGAACCACTGGGTTGTCTCTGTAGCCAAAGTACTAGGGAGTATCACTTCATATTATGGTTCCTAATGCTATTATGGGTCATGGCCAGCATCTGTGAGGGGATTGACCTGGACCACACAACTACTGCTTTCTTAGCAAATCTTAGAGACAATTAAAAAAAAAATAACAGGTTTAGTCCAGATTTTATGCTGACATTACAAGTTCAGCAATTCCTAAACTATCTTTAGTTGACCCACATTTGTACTTCTCAAAATTCTGGCATTAGTCAATTTCTTGGACCTGTCTTTTTCTCATCTATAAGAATTTTGGATGAATTGTTAGTGATACTATGTTACATCCTCGGCACTCAAGTCATAAAACCAAAAAGTTACTTGACATGTGGATGGAAGATCAGCCAGGGCAATTATGCTTAGGAAGCAAAATATCTGCAGCAAAGCAAAGGAAATTTATAAGCATTTCAGTGTAACTATAGGGGACAATAAATCTTGACAAGTTTCCAATGAGCAAAGGAAGGTAAGATGAAAATGAACTGCACAACAACCATTAATTCTAATTTGAAATATGTGGAATGTCTTTGACATTCACTTTATTGAAGGGGACACTTTAATTATTTTGTTTTGCTTGAAGTAAACAAAGGGAGATGGGGAGTGACCCTAGAGTCTCTCCTTCTCACACTTTTCTCATCCTATGTATTTCTCAACTGCTTTTTTTTTTTTTTTTTTCCAGAAAGTGTCCACTGGCTGAAAAATAAATAAAACTAGGGAGATATTTGGTATCCATTTTTAAAAATATAGTGTGAATGTAATCAGTGGGCCTTATCTCTGATCAGAGAAAGAGCAAGTTTTCTCCTTGTAAGCACTGCCTTCCCACAGGTCTGTCCCTGTGGCCAGACCATCCTGGCCATCTCCTTTGAATCAAGGCCATGACCCATCTCCCCATGTAATGCTAGTGTGCTGACAACAGTCTGGAGATGCTGCTGGCTGCTTTGACCTCTCCAAAAAGCCATGCCTGTGGACCGGAAAGACTCCCATGCCCTCTCTGGACATCGCTGTAGACTTACAAGTTGGGATGAGATCTGAAAGAGAACCCATCTCTTGTCCTCAGTGATCAAGGAGCTTGTTTCAGAGCATTCTTGGCTGACCTGGCATCTTGCTTGTGGCTCAGGTGGGGTCCAGGGGCCCAAAATGATGAGCTATAGTGGCTATAATATATAGCCCATTATATATAATGATAAAGCTAACACTGATTGAGTGTTCACCCTGTGCCAGGCATTTGGGTAAACACTCCACATAAACCCATGAGAAAGAGGTGCTATTGTCACCTCCATTTCAAAGATGGGGAAACTGAGGCAGGGAGGTTGTCACTTCCATCAGGATACATGGCAGGTATGTTGAGGAACAGGGATTGAAACACAGCTAGTCTAACATCAGAGACTGAAATTTCAACCACTACCCTTACGGATGCATTCTCTGGATGAACAATGGCATGTTAAAAAAAATTTTTTTTCAAAAGATTTATTTATTGGTCAGAGAGAGAGAGAGAGAGCGCGCACAAGCAGGGGGAGTGGCAGGGAGAGGGAGAAGCAGGCTTTCCGCCGAGCAGGAAGCTCGATGCAGGGCTCGATCCCAGGACCCTGGGATCATGACCTGAGCCGAAGGCAGACGCTTAACCGACTGAGCCACCCAGGCGCCCCTAAAAAATGTTTTTTAACTTGAATTTTATTTACTTTAAGAGTCACTTATATCTAGACTAGAGTCACCCCTGTAGAAGGATGATTTGGCATTCTCTTCTCTCAGCTGACAATTCTTTGCATTCATTACGTGTGAGAACTGTGAGTTCTTCCATTTGACATTTCAAAAAATGCCCTTAGGGAGAAGAATAGGAAGCTCCTTTCTTTCCTCCTGTTTGTTGGCTTCCTTCTGGGAAAAATCCAGAGGCTCACATCCCTAGACCTGGTGTCTGTCCTCCAGAGTGGGTCACTGCACAACAGGACTCTGAACGCTGGTCCCACGTGGGGACATCAGTTGGCTCCCTAAACCAACAGAGCATGCTACTGAGGAACATTCTTTGTGTTTATTTGTTTTGTGAAATCACCCTGGTGTTTGGACTTTGTATGATATTTCTCTGCTTCCCTGGCTGTTCTCTATTCAGGGTTATTCTTTATAATAACTTTTTCCAGAATCATTCAGCATTGGTAAGACAATTGCCAAAAAAGAACAAAAAAAGAAAGAAACAAAAAAACCAAACACACACACACACACACACACCTCTTTTATTTTTGTAGGTAGTGAGCAAAGACTGCCTCTGCTGTTCAGTCACGTTGTTTGTTGTCTGAAGCTGGGTTGTCGCAGCCAGAGAGGGAAAGAACTGAATGAAGAAACAACGTGATGGCAGAAGGCATTTGATCCAGCCATTTGCACTAGGCCACTGCCTCAGATGCTGTCCAGCAGGTTACAAGAGTTCAAAAATGATGTTTTCTTCACAGAAGCTTTAAAAATAGAGTTTGAAAAGGAAGAGTCCAGTGATAGGTTAGGATGATTCATTGTGAGATTTTTGACCTTTTGGCTCACGAATCTTCCGAGGCAATTTAATAAGATGACCATTTTTGTTTGTGCAGGAAAAACTAACTTCAGATGAATGCTTAGATAATGCTGCATAAATTATCCCTTCTGACATGCTTTGCATACTTCTAAACTCATAAATGTTAATTTCCCTCATTAATTGTCAATAATCAATTAGTATCATTTGACTTGCAAGCTTCAAATGAGTAGTAAAGATATTTAATTTGCATGCCAGGCAAATCTTAAAGATTTTCAAGTGAAAATGGAAAGGTTTGGGGAATAACTATAAATGGAAATTCATTCATCTAGAGGTTCTACTTTTTTAAAAAAAAGATTTTATTTATTTATTTGACAGAGATATAGAGAGAGAGCACAAGTAGGCAGAGCGGCAGGCAGAGGGAGAGGGAGAAGCAGGCTGTCCGCTGAGCAGGAAGCCTGACACGGGGCTCGATCCCAGGACTCTGGGATCATGACCTGAGCCGAAGGCAGCCGCTTAACCGACTGAGCCACCCAGGTGCCCTAGAGGTCCTACTTTAATATAAAACATATTTCTGAATAACAAATACAGTCTCTCTTTTATTTTTCCACTAGTTATGATGTTTTTCTGAAATATATTTTAAGTGACAACAAAAGCATATGTTGAAGATAATTAAATGTATTTTTACAGTTTTAAACTGACTTATGAGGGGCGCCTGGGTGACTCAGTCGGTTCAGCATCTGACTCTTGATTTCGGCTCAGGTCGTGATCTCAGGGTCGTGGGTTCAAGTCCCTGTTTCGGGGGAGCCCTGCACTAGGCTCTGCACTGGGCATGGAGCCTGCTTAAGATTCTCTCTCTCCCTCTCTCTCTGTCCCTCTCCCCATTTGCATGCTCTCCCTCTCTCTCTAAAAACAAATAAATAAATAAAATGTTAAACTGACTTATGAAATAGTAGTAACAACAAGAAGAAACTTTATTAGCTCAGCCCCTTACCCTTTCTAACATTTTTCACTCTTTTCTTTCCCCGACCCAATTTTTGCATATTTGGGGCTGATAAACATAGAGGTTCTAACACTTCTTAAGAAGGTTTGGTGCCTTGGGGCGCCTGGGTGGCTCAGTTGGTTAAGCGACTGCCTTCGGCTCAGGTCATGATCCCAGAGTCCTGGGATCGAGTCCCACATCAGGCTCCCGGCTCGGCAGGGAGCCTGTTTCTCCCTCTGACCCTCTCCTCTCTCATGCTGTTTCTCTCTCGCTCGCTCTCTAATAAATAAATAAAATCTTAAAAAAAAAAAAAAGAAGGTTTGGTGCCTCTTGACTGGGAAGGACATGGAGTGTTACAGTGTTTGTCCAGGGCAGAGGTTTCCTTGGAGTCTGGGGATCTGCCTCCCACATCTCCCAGGATCAGTCCTGGGGGTGGACCATTTAGGCCAACCACTGTGGGCAGTTCGTAGACAGATACATGGACCCTGGATTATTCTGCAGTATCCATGGAAACAGTATTGCAAATAGTTTACGTGTGTCAGTTTCTTTATTGTCAGGATGTGGGGGAAGCCTTTCTAATCTCAATGCAAAATCTAAATATAATAATAGAAAAGGTATGAATTCCAAAAATAGGTTTTTTTCAGACTACAAGAACAAAGAAAAATGAAGATGTAGGGGGGAAATATTTGTAATATGTATTACTGATAAATGGTGAATCTCTTAAATATTTTAAGAGCCCTTGAAAATCAAGGAATAAAAGACCACACACACACACACACACAGAAAAGTGGTCATGAACAAATAGTGCATGGAAAAAGATAAACAAGTAGTCCTTCAGTATATTAAAAGATGCTCAATTTCCTTAATATGAGAAATGCAAATGAAAACTATACTGAAATATTACTCTCACCTATCACATGGCAGGTATTCAAAGGCTTGACTAGGCTGTGAGGAAAACACACTCTCATACATTGCTCATGTGAGCAGCAAAATGGCACAGGACCTACAGGTGGTAATGTGGCAAAATTGAACAAAACCACATACTCATTTCTTTGACCTAGAAATCCCCTTTCTAGGAATTTACCCTGAAGATACACCCAACAAATAGGAAACAGTATATGCATGAGGTTATTCACTGCAGCATTCCTGATGATAGCAAAATGATATTTACTACCTAAATGCTTATCCATACCAGACTGGTGTACTTAACTAGTATCTCCATGCAATGGAAAGCAGTAAAGTTGTACAAAAATGAAGAAGACCTCCAAGAAGTGATTTTTAGGAGTGAATTCCAGGATATATTGTTAAATAAAAAAAGAAAAAGAAAGCAGGGTAGTTTGTGTGTTTATTTTTAAAAGATTATTTATTTATTGGTCAGAGAGAGAGAGAACGAGCACGCACAAGCAGGGAGAGTGGCAGGCAGATGGAGAGGGAGAAGCAGGCTTCCCATTGAGCAGGGAGCCTGATGGGGGACTCGATCCCAAGATCCTGGCATCACGACCTGAGCTGAAGGCAGACGCTGAACCAACTGAGCCACCCAGGCATCCCACTGTGTGTTTATTTTTACAAAGAGAAACACAGAAAGCATATACCAAAACTAATGAAAATGATTATTGTAGAATGTAGTTGAGAACGAAGTAGAAGGGATGGAAATGAGAGTGAGCCTTAAAAATATATATATAATTTTGACTTCTGGGACGTGAATTTTTTACATATTAATAAAATAAAGCCAAAAGCTGGTAAAAAATTTGAAAACAAACAGAATCAAATGAATCTCAACTATGTATCCAGTTAATAATACAAGCATACAGAATAAAGAATTCAGGTAACTTTTGAACAAAGTACTCCCTATTTATGCTAAAATCCTTGCTGGAAAATTTGTTGGGAAATAGGATATTTGCACAGCCTCAAAGTACCACCCACAAGTTGTTTGTTAATTACAAAAGGGAAAAGACATTTGCAATGGCAAGTGCTGGTGGGCATCACCTTAACTAAATAATCAAGCCCCTTTTCTTATTGTGGTAAAATATATATAACATAAAAAGTTACTGTTTTAACTGTATTTAAGTGTACAGTTCACTGGCACTAAGTACACTCTCATTTTGTGTAAACAACACCACTGGTCGATTCTAGAACTTTTTCATCTTCCGAAACTGAAACTGTACGCGTTGCAAGTTATCAAAATTGGCATCATCCGGTGGACTAACCTGACCTTATGTGTATGTTGTGGAGAGGCAGTGGGAAGTGCACATCAGCTCTGCGGTAGTCTTGCCAAAATGTTCTGAATCGAACAGAGAAAGTAATCAGACAACTCTAGAATGCAGGACATTCCACCCCACTCCTGGCTTGACCTCCAAAGATATCAATGACATGAGACATGGATGGATGGATGGATGGATGGATAGATAGATAGATAGATAGATAGATAGATAGATAGATAGATAGACAGATAGAGAAAAGGCACGAGGATTATTTTACATTAAAAAACTGAAGGGACATGACAAACCAAATGGTAGCAGAATCTTTTGTTGGGTCCTGGATTTAAAAAACTAACAGCCAGGGCGCCTGGGTGGCTCAGTTGGTTAAGCGACTGCCTTCGGCTCAGGTCATGATCTTGGAGTCCCGGGATCGAGTCCCACATTGGGCTCCCCGCTCAGCAGGGGGTCTGCTTCTCCCTCTGACCCTCCTCCCTCTCATGTACTCTCTCTCTCATTCTCTCTCTCAAATAAATAAATAAAATCTTAAAAAAAAAAAAAACTAACAGCCATGGTGCATATTTTGGGGATAATTGGAGAAATTGGAATATGTTGTATATTACATAAAATTATGATATCAACATTAAATTTCTTTTTTTAAAAGATTTTATTTATTTATTTGACAGAGAGAGAGACACAGCAAGAGAGGGAACACAAGCAGGGGGAGTGGGAGAGGGAGAAGCAGGCTTCCTGCCGAGCAGGGAGCCTGATGGGGGCTCGATCCCAGGACCCTGGGATCATCACCTGAGCTGAAGGCAGACGCTTAACGACTGAGCCACCCAGGCACCCCTAAATTTCTTGAGTATACTAATAGAATTGTAGTTATGTGGGAGAATGTCTTTGTTCTTAGGGGTAAAATGTCATGATGTCTAACTTATTTTTAAATGTTTAAATAGACCAGGGCGCCTGCGTGGTTCATTCGGTTAAACGTCTGCCTTTAGCCTAGGTCATGATCCCAGGGTCCTGGGATCGAGTCTTGCATTGGGCTCCTTGCTCAGCAGGAAGCCTGCTTCTCCCTCTGCCTGCAGCTCCCCCTGCTTGTGCCCTCTCACTCTCTCTCTGACAAATAAATAAAAAAAAATCTTTTTAAAAGTGGTTAAATAGACCAACTGTATTTATATATATATATTTATGAAAAGGGGAGAGAAAGAAAGAAATGTAGTAAAATAAAAAGTTGGGAAAAAGAAGTAAAATAAGACAAAATAAGATGAAAATACTATATAATTAAAAGGACTGTTGATTAATATGGTAGTTTTTATAAATATAGATACTTCCAGTTCATAGTTATATATTTACTCATTTTACTCATGTTTTAAACCAAATAATCAAACTACATAAAGTATTTTCTTGAACTTTCTATTCTCTTTGGTTCTGATGCTTTAGTATAAAGTTTATGTAGGTCTTTAATCAAGCAGGTAAAATTAAAATTGGGTATATCTTCAGAATTGCATTTTATGGGGTTTGATAACTTTGTCCCTTCAGAGCAGGAATTTAGTTGTGAGATTTTAGATCCTTAAATAAGACAATATGGAAAGACTTCTCAAAAGCATTTCTAACAGACTTCGCTCTATGCAGACTTACCACTACTACTTCAGATGGTGCCCTGTCCCCTGGAAAGGCATTCTTGTACTTGGATCAGAGATGTACAGAGAGGGGGAAGAAGTCAACATTCGGACAACATGAGACACTGGCATAGAATGTAGTATCTGAATCCGCCGGAATCCTTATGTTATCCTGTATTAAAACATCTCTTTCAGGCGGTGAAATTGACTGTGTGGATAAGGATGGCAACACTCCTCTCCATGTGGCTGCAAGATACGGTCATGAGCTTTTGATTAACACCTTAATAACCAGCGGAGCTGACACAGCCAAGTAGGTTACTGCAAAAATACGGTAGAATAATTGCCACATGTGGGAATACTGCCAAGGGGATCTGCCATGTAGTAGACAGTTTCGATTAATCTAGGTTGAGGTGGATCTGTACCGTTATGCTAAATACAAATTAAATTTGCACTAAATTAAGTGACTTTTAGTGACAGATGCAAGGAAGAACCAATTTTATTTTCAGCTATATTAGAGAGAGGACTATTCCAGTGGTTTTACTTAAGGAGACTTGAACTCTATTCCTAACTCTACTTTCTAATACTCTGTTCTTTCCAGTGTTTAGTATTGGTTAAGCAGGAAGAATAAGACATAATTGGGCAAATTCAGAATTTATTCAGGGTGCTTGCTCAGTTTTGATGATAGAATTAGGGGGTACCGCTGAGTAAATCTGCTACATAGGGAAGGGGGACTGACTTCATTTTACACTTCAATTCCACAAGAATATAAGCATTTGAACAAGTCGGTCATAGTGCTGGGTGCTATGGGAAATTTCAGAAATAAGTCACCTGGTCGGTACCTTTAAGGAGCTAATAATTTTGTTAGAGGCCCAAGGCCCTCTTAAGACAAAGAACCATGGAAGAGAGTATATACTAAAATATAAAATAAATATATAAATATCTATATAAATATAAATAAAATCCTAAATGAGGCAGGACTTAAGTGGCAAAGCATTCAGGGTAGACAGTATATGCCATTGAGTGTAGACAGGTAGGAGAGAGCTCAAAGGTGGCCAGAGTTTCCAGAAAAGCCTTCAAGCAGAAGGTGAGTTTTGGGCAGGCTTTGAAGGATGACAATTACTTGAGTAGAGCAGGGGTGGCAGACGTCCTGAGCAGGGAGGAAAGCAGGAACAAGAGTTGAAAGAGTACAATTCCAGGATGCTCTGCCCTGGGTAGTATCATGGGTGGTTGGGAGCTCAGGCTTTCATGGGCGCTACATGGGCTCCAATCCAAGCTACCTTGCCTGTGAGCTGTGTGACCTTGAGCCTGTTGCTAAAGCTCTCTGTGCTTCGGTTTCCTCATTTCAAAAATGGGAGTAATAACAGTACTTGCCCATAGGCGTGTTATGAGGATTAAAGGATTTAATTACTAGTAAAGCTCTCTGATATAGGTAAAGATAGATGTATGAGTTCTATAAATTATTGCCTAACATTATTAAACAAGATAATCCATGTTAAAAGCTCTTTGAAGAATGCCTACCACAGAGGACGCTATCAACAACTATTATTTTATTACTTAATAATATGTAGTAGAACCAAATTCAAGAGAGCCGTAAATAACTGAATAAAGAGTGTAGCTTTGATCACAGAGACTGTGGGTAATAAAAACTAAGTTTTCAGGAGAACAATATAAGAGCACTGTAGCATTAGGAATTCTATTTTATTTGCCAAGGTTGTGCAACAGAATTGAAAATCTTGCTTGAGAATAAGCCAAAATTTAAATGGTCCATGGAAGGCACTGGTGGGTTCCAGCAACCTCCTAGGGCCCCAGTCTAGTGGCGGGAACAAGATCCAGAGCAGACGATTCAAGTATTGTGAGGTTTGTACCACACTGTGGGAACATTCAGGGAGACACTGACTCTGTGGGTTTCACAAAAGAGGTGAGATTTCAGCAAAAAGAAGGACCGGTAGGAGTTTGTCCAGTAAACAAAACTGTGTGAGGTAAAAAAGATAGAGGGAAAGCAAGGAAGACATTCCAGGAAAAGAGAACAGTATTTACAAAGGCACAAACATGTGAATGTGTTGAAAGCAGATTGCCAAGCCTGGATCATCTGATGTGTGTGGAGAAATGGAAAGAAATGAGGTGGGAAGGCAGGAAGAGCCACATCATGAAGGACCTTGCATGTCCCGCTAAGGAGTTGAATTCTGTTCTGAGGCATTTGGAAGCTGTTAAAGAATTATAAGTGGATGTAGGGAATGTTGTGTCTCATGATCCCATTTGTGGGTGAGAAAGATCACTCTGACAATAGCCCACACGTGAGGGGGATGGTCCAGAGCAGGGACATGTGGTGGCCTCTTGCAAATGTCCAGGAAGGAGAAGATGAGGACTTGGACTCAGGACCAGGCTGGGGGTGGAAAGAGAGGGTCACACTGACAAACAGTAAGAGCAGTGGGCTGTCTCCTTTCAGAAGAAAGGAATCCACTTACAGTCAAAGAACCTTTTTGACTGGGCTATTGCAAGTTAAAAGAAGCATCTCAGTCTTGTGGAAAGAGCACTGTCCTAAGATTCAGGGAGCTCTTTTTGGATTCTGTGTTCCCCACCAGAACATGGCTACTCAAAGCCAGAGTCAAATATCTAGGCACATCCACTTCACCGGTGATATGTTAATATTTTCAGTGGTAGTTTTCTTTCATCTCAGGGCCACTTGGGGAGTTTTAACCAAACATCCACGAATTTCTTTCTTTCTTTTTTTTTTTTTAAGATTTTATTTACTTATTTGACAGAGAGATAGAGCAGCAGGCAGAGGGAGAGGGAGAAGCAGGCTCTCCGCTGAGCAGGGAGCCCGATGTGGGACTCGATCCCAGGACTCTGGGATCATGACCTGAGCCGAAGGCAGCCGCCCAACAGACTGAGCCACCCAGGCGCCCCAAACAACCACGAATTTCTGATTTTCTTTCAGATTTGGATCCACTTGAGTGAGAAATGGGGCCCACTACTTACTTAAAATTTCCCTAAACACATTTGCTCAGTAAGCACAAGGTTCATTTCTTTGTAATTATTTTGCCTTCAGTTTATGCGAGCACACATGTGGCAAAAGTGCCTTAGAGAAGGCATTGTTGTTCAAGTAGCCTTTCCTTCCACTGCCTGTGCTGTGTCCTGGGGATGCCGCGAGGCAAACATTGTCCCAGCCTCAAGGAGCCACATCTGGTTATGTCACAGCGTATCTGGGGATAAGAATGCTCCCTGCAGTAAACAGTGGTTCATTAGGCCGCACTCACGCACGCACGTGTGTGTGTGTGTGTGTGTGTGTGTGTAGTACATGGGGAGGGAAATCACCTGAGGGGAAATGTCAAGATGGGGGAAGGAAAGTTGGAGAAGATTAACTTTGCTAAGAGCCCTCAGAAAATCACTGTTCTCTGGGTTTCTTGTAGATCCATGTGGAGTAGCTTAGTAAAGAGGAGAAAAGTAGGACTTTTCCCTCTATTAATAAGTAAACAAATAGCATTTATGAAAATAACCCATCCTCATTCATTAACAATATGACCAAATATATTTTAAAAGATCTCTGTATGACAAGTGTTATGGTCATTACTTTCTTATGAATTTGTTTGAATCTCATTCTCGGGCCCGATGAAATGTTTTTGATATTCTTCTTCCTTCTCTGGGCTTTAAGTCAGAGCACTTTCTGCAGCTTCTCAGTGCTCATGCAACTTCATGTGGTGCCAAAGCCCTCTGGTTTTTCTTCTTTAGCTTTTTTTAGGTTTGAGACACTTGTCTCTGGGATTTTAATTTGCCTTCTACCTTACTGATTCTGCCTCAACTGCAGCAAAATTAGGGGTATTATAGTTATGCAGGTAACTAGTTCTGCCATCTGTTCATTCACTGAATGTTTGCTGAAGGTCTGTGACGTCTCACCCGCTGCATCAGCTTCTGGGGGCAGCGTTAGTTTCTGGGGGCTGTGTCAGCTTCTGGGGTTGTAGGAGTCCCTGCCCTCAAGGAATTTATAATTCACTGGGGGCAAGAATTAAACAAGCAGTTATAATCATGCATGCAAAGTGTGATGCAAGAATCACTGGGTACCACTGGATACAGAACGTATGTTGGACATAGCAGGGCTGGGGCGAGGGGGCTTCTGGGAAGAGCAGTGCTTAATGGAGACTGCAGGGTTAATAGCAATTAGTTAGGTCATGGTACTGAGAGACTTGCAGATCCCAGGTATAGACTTAAGTTATTTTTATTAGAGTGTTACTTGAATATGTATAAATGTGAAACTTGATAGAGACTCCTTAGGGTTTGCCTCTCCTATATCAGTAAGTCAAAAAAAAAAAAAAATTACAGCATACATGCAAACAGCAGTCAGTGTTCCCAGGTTAACAGTAGCAGCAGATGTTTATGAGTGCTTACCTGTGCTAGGCACTAACTCTCAGGAATTATATTTAATTGTCACAGCGACCCCGTGGGTGAGTGACACGATGATCGCCATCTTATAAGTGAAGTAAGTGAGGCACAGAGAGGTTCACTTACTTGCCTGAGGTCACAGAGCTTCTGAGGGGGTGGAAATGAGACTCCATCCTCAGCCATCTGGATCTGGAGGCGAGGCTCCTCAGCGAGAGGCTTGCTGCCTCTCTATGTAGTGGATGGTGCGATTGTGCACCATTTGCCAAAACTAAATCACCATTTTCGTGGGGTTATTGTCCTGGTGGCCGAGCTGCTGTCTTGTTAGAGGTCAGTACATGCTGCAGGACTAGAAGTTTTGCAGTGGCTTCGACACAATAGAGGGCCAGTGGTCTCATCACAGAGCACAAACGCCAACTACTGCCGAATTCGGTGCATCTAGAAGGCTAAGCATACTGCATTGTCACTGGCCCTTCCCAGCTTCAGGCATCATTTGTCTGTTACATCCACCTTTTTTGTGTTCTTATTGGCCCCTGCCAATTTACCAGTAGTTCCGCATGACACCAGTGTGATCCCAAGTACAGACACGGGCGCTGACATACGGCAGAAGTCTGTCATGAGAAGGTGGTTGTTGAGATGAGCCAAAATATGCTTTTATACCACTTGCTTTAGGTTATCATCAAAAGGAAAAGACAGTTTAGAAATTCCCACAGAGAACTCTTGAAAGCCCGAAGGTATTTCCAGTGGCCCCCAGAGATGCACTAACTAGTTTGAGAAAGGCTATGAGAAGCTGGGCAGAAAAATGAGTTTCTTGTACCAAACAAAGCCTGGGGCAGGATAGAGCCTTGGCTTCTCCAGGAGGAAGGGGCAGAAGTCCACTGAGTCTAGAATACTGGTTGATTAAGCAACAGCTAGATCCAGAAGTGGCTTGTAAGCCACATTAGAGTGTTTGGTCTTGATTCAAAAGAAACCACTGAAAGTGTCAGTAGGTTGCAAACAGCAAGGACCAGCCTCATTGTTGTCAGTTATACCCAAATGCCTCTACCTTAGGGGTGTGTGATACTCAGAATGACCTAGATAAAATTAATAGGAAACTGATCTTTTGATTTGGGTTGATCAGTCAAGTAAGAATCATCAAATCATTTGATGATCAAAAATCATCAAATGTTTTCATTTCACCTGCTCAGTGGACAAAACTAAACCAATCCACCTTCCCTAGGAGACTTGTGAGATAAGTACTATAAAGAATTTTGAAATGTAGAAAGATAGGAATGCTAGCAGATCACAATTTATTCTTGGCTTTTTAAGAATCACAAAGCTGATTTTAAGGAATCACAGCCTGATTACAACTTCAAAACTTACAGACCGCTGATTATGCAACTAAGCTAATAATAATTTCAAGGGCAGTACTAATACTAACTTGTATGGTAAAGGCTTATCATGGTCCAGACCTTCTGTTAGCACCTGGGTGCATTATTAATTAGTTCTTACAATTGCTCTGTAAGATGACACTGTTTTGATCTTTATTTTCTGGATGAGGGAACCATTACATACTTGCCAAAGATCAAATAGCTAGCAAGTGTCAAAATTAGGACTCAAACCCAAGATTTCTGACCCCATCACCTTAACTCAGTGTTTTTTTAGCATACAGCCTCAGAGAAGGCTCTAGAAAGCATTGGAGGTGGGAAGGAACAGCCCTCTCTGATGCCAAGGGGAAAGCTTAAAAGAACTGATGTTCTCATAGTGCACAAGCCCTTTCCTTACCTCTGATAGCTGTCTACAATTTATTCTGACCTCATTTATTCTGAAATAACTGGGTAGGAGATGCCAGCTAACAGCTAAATAAGAAATAGCTAATACAAATGTGTCCCATTAATTTTATGACTGGTCAAATGTAGCATTTTAGCTGGAATTGGTCTCCTCTTTCCTGTAATTTATGCATTGTTAAGTTTAGTGTTATCTGACGTCTTTATTTCTTGATCTTCTGTGATGTATAAAATAAGATAAAATAAGAGTGATGCTTCTTATTTGCCTAAGACAGCCAAACCCTAATTTTCCTGCTAAAGGTTTTATGACTCTTCCTTTATAAGCAGTCTTACTTTATAATAATAGAGGAGTAATTTTATTTTGAAATACATGAATCATTTCTGAAGTGATCCAGAGATTCTGAATTTGACTTTTATTTTCTTTCCAATCTCAGCCTGATATTTCGTTTTCCTGTTTGAACCATAGTATCATATTCAAGTTCAAATGCAGTGGTACTTGAGTCTAAATTAGTATGTTTTCAAACCTACATTGAGGTAGTGATTTTTTATTAACTATTGAATAAAATATATATATTAAACAGAATTTTGCTAGACCTTTTAGAATAGTTTTACCCCTCTTCTCAAGTTTATAAGTAACAGAAACAGAAGAGAGAATTAGCTAATGTAGAGTATGATGAATTACTTGAATATAATGATGTTAAGTGGCAAAGTTGATTAGAAATATTAATAATGAAGTTTATGGAATATGTTACAATGCTGTTGCTGATATACTATCACTTACACTTTTTATGTTTTTCCTAATTGATTTCTTATAGAATTTGATGCTATTTTCTCTAATTCATTTGCTTGTATTATTGTATATAAAGATATGTATTTTTGTATCTTTATAAAATATATTATTATATTGTGTATATATACATATATGCATGTATATGTATATACATATAATATGTATGTAATACATAACATTTTAATATATTTTACGTGTTATGTATTTGTACACATATATATTTTTATTAAAGTTATATTTAAAGAATGGGGAAGACTCAAAGAAATCTTGGGAAATCCAACCCAATTCCAGGCACATTCTTTCAGGAACTTAAAACCATCCTGGAAAATACTGTTTTTCTCTTGCAAATGTCCAGAGATACTAATATAATCACATTTTTGCCTTACTTGCCCTAAACAAATAAAGTGGCTAGGTACAGTCTCATTGGCTTAAAATTCCATTTAGTAAGGTGCTTTTAAAACATGTTATACATTTTAAAAAATCACAGCATCAAGAGGACAATATAAATATAGCAGCACAGATAGAAAATCTTCTCTCCCATCCCCCAATGCCCGCTTCCTTTCCGTGAACATCAAGGTTGTCACTGGTGCAATTGCTTTTCAGAATTTTTTTTGTAAATGATGAGAGAGGCAATTACAAGCAGTTCTCCTCTGCATGACACTGCCCGGAAGACAAGCAAATTGCACCTCTTGATGGATGCCAGCTATTATATACAGTGGGTTGGAAATCTCCATATAGGGAAAGGAAAACGAACAGAGGGGAGACTGAACAAAAACACCAATACACAGAAGTTTTCATGGAAAGAGAGAGGTGGTTAATTGTTGGCCAACTCAGATTTGGCAGAACGCTGAATACCATGAAATAGCTGTGAATATGTATATACTTTCACACATTCACACACATCATAATAACTTTTGAGATAGCAAATAAAAGTCATGTATCTGAAACCTAACCAACTCAAACCATATGTGTTTCTTAATGAGTTACAGAGTCTGAAAACGGGCAACTTTGTGCCAGGGAAGAAACTTGGGTCATTAATGCTGCAGGTGTAAATACACGTACTTACTTGTGTTATGCAGAGGATTTGCAGAAATTGAAATAACGTTATTTGACTATGATGAGATGTTCTGAGAAATGAGCACTAACATTATAAATTCTTATAAGAACACTGGAACCTCTCGATGATGCTGTTTGTTAGGAACAACAGTTCAGCACACGGCTTCGGGTCCTTGTGTGAGGAGAGGCGATGGGCAAGAGGAAGATTTTATTTTAAAGGAAAAAGCACGGCTGTCAGAAGGGACACTGCCTGTCCCTTAAGGGATCATCCTGGGGACTGTGTTATGATGGGGTATCAGTCTAAAAAGTCCTTTTCTAGACTCTTTCTGTAATACTGTTAGGGAAAGTATGCTAGATTTATGAAACGTATGCAAGATAATGTGTGTTGCTCCAGCACATTTTCGTGACTGGTGTCCTGAGGTGGGTTAATAGGCAGTATAGAAGTCTGTTAGGAAGATGAAGTTGTACCCGCAAAAGGTAAACATTGGTTTTTATTCGCATGCAACTTTTTTTTTCGATAATACAGCCATTATTAACTCTTAGCAAAGTACTTGGCACATAATAGGTCAATAGTATTTCTTTATCAATTCAAGGAACGAACAGGTCACTGAATAAAACAGGTTGCTGACATAAAACTACTCAGTTGAAAGAAAAAAAGGTAAATTAATCTTAAATGTAGAGTCACCCTTTATAGGAAACATTACCTTAAAAAGATACATTCCTATTGTTAGGGGTTTTTAATTCTGGTCTAGGTTTAGGATTTTATTATGTTAAGGTGGAAAATGATTGCATAATTATTTCCTGAGTGGAGGAATTACAAAATTGTTTCAGGCAAAGATCCTGAAGCTAGGTGTTGTGGATTTAATTTTCATCAGAAAACTTCCAGAAACATTGTTGTCCTTCTGCATGTATCTTGAGATCTGTTACTGTGAGCCACTGTTTTTTTCCTCCTCAGGTGTGGAATCCATAGCATGTTCCCCCTACATTTAGCTGCCCTAAATGCTCACTCTGACTGCTGCAGAAAACTCTTATCATCGGGTAAGTAACCCCATTACCACAGATGAGGCTTAATGTGTCCTGTAAGTGAGCCACATGGCTCTAGGTGTCTGGTCAGAGTAAGTGGCTGCCCGTGCTTCCTGTCATTCATTACCTGATCTGGGGACAGCTCCCAGCAGTCCTTGGTGTTGTTGCTGTTTGAGTGTCAGTATTCCTGCCCCAAGATGAGAGTCTTGTCTGTTTTTCAAGTTAAAGCTTGGATGAGCCAGAGTGAGAGACAGGCAGGGGGATGGCCATAGCTTACTGGAAGTTTGTCGGAATCAGGGAAAATACCTTTGAGGCTTAAAAGGGTGGATTTAACAGTTAATATTTTCAACAAAGGAAAAAAGGCCAAAGCCCCCACATTTTGACAGTAGAAATGTCACATTACCTTCCTCCTCTGTGGGCTCTGATAAATCCCTATAGTGTGATCCCCTCCAACTAGGTTTAATTTTTATTTTTTAAATGTGGGTCTGTTTGGAACCAAGAAATTCTTCCTGGTTTGGAGCTTTGCTAATCTTTCTTATCACTGCTTCTGCCAACCTCCATGTATTAAGAAGTTCCTGGCTTTCAAAGGTGATAGAGGTCTGCAAGGCAAAGATTGTTTATGAATTAATTCAACAGACATCCCAGAGGCATTTTTTTTTTTTCCTTTTAAGTGCTTTACCTGTGGTTGATTCTGCCTTCACCGCTTTTGGCATGTTTAAAAATAATCCCTGCATGAAAGCATGTTTCCCGAATCTTAAACCAGCTGAAAGCTAATAATACACATAAGAAAATATCTACTCCAGCATGTTAAGATTACTCCTTTGCTGTCCATGTTTTCTCCATGTGTTCTGTCTGCCTGTCTATTGCCCTACTTATCTCAAATTGGTTTCATAAATTTCTATCCTGGGATTGAAATATGGGGCTGTTGTTCACCCAGGGCTGAATGTGAAAATAAATTCTTCTAGACTTCATGGTTCTTCTATAAAATTGCCAAGCTTGAGCAGTTACCATTCGTTTCCATGACAACCTCTTTCTGACTACAATTGCTTGCGTTCTGGTTTTTCTACTAACTGATTTTTCTGTCTCTGCAATGTTTCTTGTGGTTTAACTAGGACAAAAGTATAGCATAGTATCCTTGTTTAGTAATGAGCACGTGCTGTCTGCAGGCTTTGAAATAGACACCCCAGATAAATTTGGAAGAACGTGCCTTCATGCTGCTGCTGCAGGAGGGTGAGTAGTTAGCAATTTCAGTTCTTGTTTCATGACTTAACTCCTAATTTCTCTTACTTGGCTTAAGTTGTCTGTGAATCAAAAGCAATTTCCTTAGTAAGATGGGTAAGAATCATTTCTACCAATACCAAATAACACTTTTGCACTTCCATATTAATTGTATGTTTGTTCTTCCTAAGAAAAATTTTTAGCCCATCTCATATAGAAAATAGTATTCTTTGTTTTCTCTTCTCTCTTTCCCTTTTTTTTTAATTGTAGGTCTTCAGCCTATAGAATATGTATCTACTTGATATGCACTCTACCAAAAGAAAATAATTTGAGATTTGTTCCTAAGTTTTTCCTTTTTTGTCGCTGGTAGGTGGAGGATGATCAAGGGAATCCAAGATTGAGTTAGTTCATGTTTATTTACAGCTATTTTTGTCTTTATTTCAAAACCGATTTTTAAGTACGTAAATGGTTAAAGGGGACTGAAGGTCAAGAAAACCCAAGGCATAGGCAAGAAGCGATTTAATCCTTGCCTTTTTGTTTCAAGTTGTAAAGAGCATTTTTCATCAGATAGTCTTTTTCATATCAGTGGTGAGAGTAAGGCTCTGATCAATATGTTGTTGATATATGACCCGACATTGACCAAACATGGCCTCTCTCGGATGACCTTGTTTGGGTAAGGTGTTAGTTCTTAATCAGTTTGCTAGTCCTCAGGGAACAGCAGTGCTTCTCCATTTGTCATCTGTACATTTTCAAAGGCATTACCTTTTTATCAGAGGTGGGTTGACTGTGAAGCTTTAGGGCCCTTATTTGCATGGGTCCCTTCCGAAATCTTGTATTTAGTTTTATATTCATAATTGTGTGTTATTTTTTAAATGGATCTCCTTCTCCCCAACCCCTCTCTCCAAATCAAATGAGCTTCATAAGTCACACAACTGGATCTGCCTCTGCCTTTGATCCTTTGGTTTTATTCAGTAAGAGACAGGTGCTTTTATATCAACTGGCATGCGACACCAACACATAATGGTCTCAGAAAGTTCTTATATTTTATGACTGAAACAGCGGGTTCTCTGAGAAAAGTGGCTACAAAGAGTGAATGGGGGTAGGGGGAGCCCTGCTCGGGTTCCTCATTAATGAGATCATTTTTCATATTTAAATGATAATAAAACAATAAATCCTAGACGACTACTCAGCACTCCAAGTTTAGAACAAGGTGATTTTCTCTTTTTATGCCGACATTTAAAAAAAGTATCAGACCTTGGCAACACACCATTCTGGATTCACATCTGAAACTCCTATTACAATTAATATTTAGCGACATGCCTTTCAATAGGAAAATTCACTTCAGTGGGTCCTTTTTCTCTACTAAACATGATTTATTGCTTCTGCGAATGACAAAGAAGCTTTGGAAGATCACTATGCTCCATTACATCATTTTCGGCCTTTTATTTTTTGTACATTTATTTACCTGTATTACAAAGACAGGGAAATGCAGCTGTTTTATTTCCCATTATGGAGAGTCTGGGTTGAAAATGGTTATCACGGTGAATTCATTCTCCTGTGATAAAAGGTAATGCTTCTCCATTCTGGCTCATTGTTTAGAGGTGACATGAAATCATCATAGGTGTAAGGGGTTGTTTCCCAAACTCTTGATGGTTTTAAAGGAGAATCTTGGGATACACGATGAAACCATCACTAAAAGGTTTAACCATGTAATAATCATTAAATACCTTGGTCATGGAATTGAAAATGTTCCATCAAGCTCTTTGATGGATTGATTTATTATTAGCTTGGGAAAAGGAATTTCAGGAACCTCAGATCCTTGCAATACCGTATTCCTCTAAGATGTTCAGGTTGGTTTTGCGTTAGCAGAATTTAAAGCTGGAGCTATCATTTCATCTTGGCCTGCACTTTGCCAAAAACAGCTCTTTCTGAAGATAGCCCAGCAATTGACCTCTACCATCTTAATGATGTTTTTTTTCCCTGTCTTTCTAGTAATGTGGAATGTATAAAACTCTTGCAGAGCAGCGGAGCGGATTTCCATAAAAAGGACAAGTGTGGGAGGTATGTAAACAGGGAATTCTGCTTCAAGTGCCTCAGTTAACAGGGGTGGGGAGCAGTCCATCTGGAAATCACGTTATAGTGAAATGGTAAACAGGGAAGCTAGCTGGGGAGATTCCATCCTCAGAAGGAAATCCCTTTTTGTAGCGAAACACCAACAAAGCAGGCACAAGCCCCAAGACAAGCATCTCCTCTCATGGCTTCTGTTAGAAGGGCCAGTTGTGTCTTGCCTTCTTCCGGTTTTGTTCCCATCGCATCTCTCTACCCCTCCCCTCCACGTGCACCCTGGCTCTTGGAGTTGCGACAGATTTCTTCTCTTACCAACCTACCTAGGCTAACGCCTACTCACCCTTCCAGATTTATATCAAATAACCCCTCCCGCCCCCGCTGCATGGGTGCCCCTCCTCTCTGCTCCCCTGGGACCCTCCCTACTCCACAACTGGAGCACACATCACACTGTTCTAGTGGACCAGTAAAAAAGCCCATTCATTGACTGTAAAATATAAAAGAGTGGCCTTGAAAATTAATAAATAGTTCATGAGATAAAGTTATTTTATTTCTAGTATTCCATTTGATTATTATTCCCTAACTATTGGCTAGTTTCTGCAGTGACTTACTCTTGGCAAGGTGCATGTATTTCCTGTTACCCACTTGGTTTTTCATAATAACTCTATGAGATAAATGGGAATGCTTCCTATCCTTTTTAATAGATGAAGAAATTGATCTTGGAGAAACTAAATGAGTTATACCTGTAAAAAATTTACGTGTACATGTAAAATTCCAGGAATTTTAGATCTAGACTAGATGTTAGGGGGCAGCTGCTCATGGGTCATTACTGAAGTAAGGACAAGGAAGCCCAGACCCAGAGAGGGGATGTGATTTGGTGCAGCTTACAGATCTGCCTGGACTAGAACCCAGGGCTTCTGATTCCTTGGATATTGTTCTTCCCTCTAGTCTGTATCCCTACCGCCAAGAGACTTGTAGTTCAATGGAGAAGATGAGACAATACCAAGAGCTAAAGTCAAGGCAATGTGGGATGAGAGCTCATGAGAGACCCAGACAGGAGCTGCACAATCTCAGACAAAAGGGAAAGAAACTTCTGGGACTTAAGAAGCTTTGGGATTTTGATGGGTAGAAGTGGTTCAGGAGAGGACATTCCAGGGAAGAAAACAACATGGGGATAGGCAGGGGAGATGTGGACATGACTGGAGAGACCTCAGGTGATCCCATTTGGATGCAGTGATGGGTTCATATAGGGGGGATAGAGAAACTTCATGAAGGTAGTTTGGGCTCAGCTTAGAAAGGTCTTTGATTCCAGACTAAGGAATCAAGGCTTTTCTCAGTAGAGAGGACCAGTGGTTTTAGAACAGAATGTCCTATGTGGGTATTGGACCTTAGAAAATCCAGTTCTTCACTCATACCAACTAGAAATTAGATAGAAGTTTGATTAGAGCTAAGGAGGCCAATAGGGATGGTATTGCAATAGTCCAGAAGAGCTAGTGTAGACCTACACCAGGGTAGGCACTAGGAATGGAAAGAAAAGATAGATCCCAGGTAGGTGGCCTCAGCTCCAAGTTATAAAGTCAAAGGAAGGCATGTCCCTTGGCTTCCACACTCTGAGAGCTAAAGAGCTTCCGCACTCCTAGGAATACTGCTGTCAGTGCTAATGCAGATGATGGCGGCGGCGGGGGGGTGGGGTGGGTGTGTGTCTTTTTCAGATGAATGAAGTAATAAATTGCTGTCTGTTTTTCAGGACGCCTTTGCACTATGCAGCTGCAAATTGTCATTTCCACTGTATTGAGACATTAGTGACCACAGGGGCCAACGTTAATGAAACAGATGACTGGGGACGCACAGCTTTGCACTATGCTGCTGCATCCGACATGGATAGAAAGTAAAAACAGCCTTGCTCAAATTTCCTTTGGGGGTATGACTGGGGAGGGGGAGGGTTTGCTAAGTTTTCTTCACGCTGCCTCCTTGAAGCTGTGAATGAAGAATATCTCTCATCCAGACCCAGAGGAGTTAGAATTGCCTCATCCCTAACCCCGGTTTTCCCATTCTGCTCTCTTTATGTTTGATTATTACATGTCACTGCTCCATTGTTTCTCTTCTCCGGTCGTTGGGTTGAATGCTAAGTGGGGCTGTCAAGCTCAGGTTTTCAGTTCATCCAAAATCGCTTGTAATTTATTTTGTCATATCCTACAGTTTTCATCATCACCACTTAAATGCTTCATTTGCCCTCAGACTTACATTTGCTAATAAATTCGTTGCATGGCAGAAGTATCCATCTATGTATAATCCCAATAGCCTTCAAATGCAGTGTCAGTATGTGCAGAATTGGTACTGTTGTTCCAAACTGGGCATGAATGCTCTTTCAGGAGCTGAAGGGGAGGAGGTTGGATGCCCTGGACATGTTTGGATTCTAGGTGCCTAGGAATAGAAAGCAGAAATAAATGAACCAGTTCAGGTGGGAAAGGAGGGAGAGGTGCCTACCTACAGCTTATGAGATTGTTCTCAAAGACTCGAGGACCGAGGACTCCTTCATAGGAATGCTTTTTGGTGACCCTGTTTGGAGAACTATTGACTTACTTGCTGTGCTGTGCTATGGAATTGATTCTGGGTCAGGGCTAAATTCTTTTCTTATATAGCAGTGGCTTTCACATATTTTACAGTGACCCACAGTAAGAAATACATTTTACATCATGACCCAGCATACACACTCAAATAGGTATGTTTTAAATATATATGTAAAAAGGCAGCAAAAATTTTGTAAGACCATATTTACTTTTAGTATGTATGATGCATTCTGATATTTTCTTCTACTATTTTGTTAAAAAAAAAAAAGGCAACAAAATACTGCAACCCACTAAATTGATTTCACAATTCCATAGTGGATTATGATCCATATTTCCAGTTTGGAAAACACTGTTCATATTATATGATATTGGCGAGTCTGATGTAGCTGCACTCAGGATCTCATAGGCACATCTTTTTAGGGGAGACCTCCTTCCAGTTGCCCTCACTCAGAGGAAACGACATTTATTAGTTATTAATTCAACAAATGTTTATTGAGCATCTACTCCGTAGCAGGCTCTATGCTGTTCACTTAGAATAGAATGGGGGAACAAGTACACTTCATGTGTTAAGAGCTATAAAAAGGAATCCTAGGTGATGAAGAATTGCTCTGGCAGTTGAGGGGTGACTAGAACCCCATTCCTGGATAAATGAGATGCTTAACTGATAAGGAGGCAGCAAGGAGTGTGATAGGAGTCAGGGAAGTTTAAGCTCCATCACCTCCTATTTACTTGGGGAGTTTAGGATATTTATGGAAGGGTGGGCAACTTGGTGTCTTACTCTCTGATACCTGGGCAGAAGTTCTAGGAAAGTCATGTTCTCAGTTGGGTTCTGTGGAAGAGAACAGATTTACTGGATGGCCTTTCAGAGAACCACATACGTCCTCAGTGAAAAAAATCAGTAGTGCTTATGTCTTTTGGGTTGCAGGAAAAGTCGTTGAGATATAAGCTGTATCAAAATCATTAGCAACTTTGCCATGAAAGCAAATAATTGTAATTTTTTTTTCTTTCCCTTATGCTGAGAAGTAAGACTATCTTAGGAAATGCCCATGAAAATTCAGAAGAACTTGAAAGAGCCAGAGAGCTGAAGGAAAAGGAAGCCGCATTGTAAGTTTCTGCTTAGCTGAAAGCACAAGAGGTGGTTACTGATACTTGTCTGCTCTTCTGGGTTGCTACACAGGCCAGCCTTACTATTGGGGGGCTTTATTTGGGTTCTTGAGGAAGTGATATGGGCTTGCCTTTAGTGAAGAAGAAATGATTCTTTTAATATTCCTTCAGTTATGCTATTTTCACACAAGGAACTCTTCCTAAAATTGGAAACTTTACTGAGACCATCACTGTGATGGGTCAGCAGTTTCTAGGAGTAGGTGTCTTAAATATCATTTTTGACTCTGCCATATATTATCATATGCCTCAGGGGACATATTAAGCCTCCTCCCAGGGCCTTAGGCTCTCCTTTAATGACTTGGGGGGTAACTATTTAGCAGGTTCTAGAAATAAATGTTCTGAGAATCCAGTGTGAAATACAATGGTGGTGCTCTCCCACACACACACCAGCTCACAAACAGCCCCCTGCTCCTGCCGACAGCTGCCCCCTTCCCCGCCTCATCCCACCGGCCTCTCTCTGGCTTTTGATAGAGACTCAGCCCGGACTGTGACAAGAGCCAGGAGTCACTGCCATCACCCAGGGGTGCTGACGCGCAGGAAGCTCTATGCTTTGTCCTCTGACAGTCCTCCCTGTGCGACAAGGCACCGTGCGAAGGTCGTGCTCTGCCCAGAGCAGTGCCCAGTATGTTGCGGGGAGTTCAGTAACTTAAATAAATGAACAAATGAATGAGTGCTGCCCACACTCTGTGTCCTGCTCTGTGAGACCTAGGGGGTGGAGTGCTCTAGGAATCTGCACACACACAGTTCTTAGCGTGTTTATTCTCTTCTCCCGCTGTCAGAGGAACCAATTTCTCTGTGACCTGAAGGCTTGTGTCCCCTCTGGGGTCGTCCCACTGCCCACTGGGCTCTCCTCCCATGTCTAGACCATGGAGGGAGGGGGGGTTAGAGAGTGTGGCTCTGGTACAGGCTGTGGGACGTAACTTTGGCTGTCACTGGGCTGGGGACAGGACACATAGTAAAGCAGAATGACCACGGTTTTGCCCTGATATTCCAAACTTAATGATATTCAAAGGCTGTAGAATCTTAAGGCACCTCAGCAAATGCCCCCTTCTCCAGCGAAATGGCAGCTTGTCCTGTGCCAGAGTAGTCCTCTTAACAGCTGATACAGAGGGAAAAAGGACAAGCAGGCGAAAGTGCCTGAAAGCGCTTTCATGCAGAGGCTGCACCTATCATCCAAATGCATTCCTGATTTAAAGTGCATGTCTTGATTTTGCAGCTTAGGTTCCAAAATTGCTAGCCATGGCCTCTTAGGAGAAAAGACAAGCATCCCCAGTTAAAACTGGAATTTCTTTCCCCTTAGAAACAATCTGGAGAATATTCAAATTCTATAGTACTGTTGTTTTTTCTAAGAGTGCTGTTGGTAGTATAGCTCAGCTCTATCCTCGGGTAAATAACTCTTTGGAAGCAAGTCCAAGTGTTTTCCAAATTACGTATTAAATTCACCAACTGATTTTTAGAGTGTAATTCTTTCAGAAGCTGGGGACTGTGTGTCCACTAGAATGCTATTCCTATTGAATGATTTTATTTCAGGAGCCAAATTCTGCTTAAAATGAGTCAGACCTGGGATCCTGTCCATGGGCATTTAATTACCAAAAAAAAAAAAAAAAAAAAAACTTCCTTTTAAGGTGCAAGTTACCAAAGACTGCATGATATCAGAACTCCAATATTAGTTTGATTTATTATGGAGCATTTTATGGATAAATCATGCGACATGTAGATATTTGGTTTAAAAAATTAATGTCTTTCATCAGTTTTTCTAGAAATTAAAACGTGTTTTAACTATGTTTATGTGTGATTTATTTACTCCTTTGCCTTATGCCAAAAGATAGGTGAGTGTCATTTTAAAGTGTTTGAGTCACAGGATGGTGTATGGAAGTGTTGAATCACTATATTGCACACTGAAACTAATATTACACTGCATGTTAACTAACTGGAATTAAAATAAAAACTTAAATAAAAAATAAATAAAAACAAAACCAAAAATAAAGTGTTTGACTAAACTATAGAAACTTCCCCTTGGAAGATCTTATTTAATGTACACACATCTATTGTATATTTTAAATATGATTTGAGTATTTGAGAATTTTGATTTGAGTATGAAATTGAATCTGCTTGACCTTATAAAGGACATGTTTGTCCCACTGCCACAGATAGAAAACTAAGATTATGGAGTGGTGCTCCCGCCTAGTTATTCCCTCTCTGGCCAGCAGGGTTGTACCACTTGTAAGAGGCCTGGAGGAGAACTCCATACATCCCTGGACACCCGTGTCCTGGAGTTGGAGGCATTTCAGCAAACGTGGAACTCCTTCCTCCAACCTACTGTAAAGATTGTGGCTTTTCCAGAAAAATTACAACTCTGTCAGAAGAGGCTTTCTAAGCTTATTATTTATTATTTTATTCTAGTCTATACACAATGATGCAATTTAAGCCTCTATGTTCAAATGTGGTTACAGAATTAATACGTTATGTTTTAAATATTTGCCCATTCCTTTAATCTTTTTATTATTCTTAAGTTCTTTTCTTGTTGTTATTTTTTTATTCTTTCTAGCTTTCATTTTCCAACCTTTTGATTGACGGTAAAGTCTCCAATAGCAAAGCTAAAAGTACACCCCCCCCCCTTGTTACAATGGACTGACCACTTCTTTGTTAAATTTGAGACTTCATTTTTTGAATGTGGAGCTCTAAAACTCATTATTCAGTAATTTTTTTTTAAGGTTTTATTTCTTTATTTGAGAGAGAGAGACAGAGATAGCGACACAGAGCACAAGCAGGGAGGAGAGGGAGAAGCAGGCTTCCCGCCAAGCGGGGAACCTAACGCGGGGTTCGATCCCAGGACCCTGGGATCATGACCTGAGCCAAAGGCAGAAGTTTAACTCTGCTTAACCTGCTGAGCCACCTATTCAGGTGCCCCTATTCAGTAATCTTGATGACAGGTTCTGTGCACTGGGTGTTATACACAAATAATGAATCATGGAACACCACGTCAAAAAATATTGAAGTACTGTATGGTGACTAACATAACAAGATGAATCACTGAACTCTACCTCTGAAACTAATAATACACTATATTGCTAATTAATTGAACTTAAAATTAAAAAAAGGAACCCCCCAAAAAATAAGGTAAAAAGGAAAAAAACCTTAATTATTCTTTATTATGCTAATTGAAATAGGTCAGACAGAGAAAGATAAATATCATAAGATTTCACTTATATGTGGAATCTAAAAAACAAAACAAAGGAGCGAACAAAACCAGACCGAGACTCCTAAGTACAGAGAACAAACTGGTGGTTGCTGGGGGGGGGGGGGGGGGGGGTGGAGGGATGGGCGAAATTGGTGAAGGGCATTAGGCGTCCACACTTCCAGCTGTAAGATACATAAGTCATGGAGATGAAAAGTACAGCACAGGGAATACTGTCAATAATATTGTAATAACATTGTGTGGTGCCAGAAGGTGACTACCTTTACAGTGGTGAGCATCGCATCATGTATAGAATGGTGAAATCACTGTGTTGTACACCTGAAACTAATAAAACATTGTACATCAGCTATAAAAAGAAAACCCAAAACATTCTGTTATCAATGCAGGAGGAGACAAATGGATTATTGTAACAGAACAGAGGCCATACATGAACCCGTGTGTGGATAAATATGCAATATTGATCATGACATTAAAACAACTCAGTGAGGAGGGGAGAGTCATGGATAATCTCTTTTCCCCCCTCTCAATAAACCTAACCACCCTCTTGTCCCTGAAACCTTTCCTGAATTCTAGAATGGCTATTTTAAGCTGAAATAAAGATGGAAACACACACACGTGTAAAACTTCAGTGCATAAACTGTCATTGCCATAGGATTTTTAAAGAAACACTTAAATTCACGAAGTGCTTTGTGGAACATTCATAATAGGAAAATGCATTCGTTATTGCTTTTGGTCTAGAGATGTTTTCTAAAATAGCACCTCATCTTTATACTTACAGATGTCTAGAGTTCCTGCTTCAAAATGATGCAAATCCATCTATCCGGGACAAGCAAGGCTACAATAGCATACATTATGCTGCTGCCTATGGGCACAGACAGTGTCTGGAATTGGTGAGTCGTTCTGTCTTGTTTTATTTTCTCTAACACACACACACACACACACACACGAACCCTGCAGATGCTGGTCGTAATCTCTCACAAATGCTCTCATTGCCTAATTAAGTCCTCACTAGAAATTGCCTTGAAGATATTCTGTGGTAAGTAATTAAGTTGTTTTACTTCACAGTATGTAGACCTTGTTCCATTTCTGTCCATCCTAATCTCACAGCTGACTGGCAGTTGCTTCGTTTCCATATTAACTTGGACTAGGAATGTTTGACTGCTGTACGGACAGTTTGTATTTTAAAGAGAATTTGGATGTATCAAATAAGCTCAGTATATTTTTCGAAGTCACACTGATCACCCTAATATTCAATAACAGTGTTGTAAGAGGACTTACATCCCCGTTAGGGATAAGTTTGTCATGGTCCCACATTTGTAGTTTAGGCAAAGAAATTGGCAAGGGCACATCAGCAGAATTTTTTTCTCTCTCTCTCTCTCTCTTTTTTTTTTTATTATGTTATGTTAGTCACCATACATTACATCATTAGTTTTTGATGCAGTGTTCCATGATTCATTGTTTGCGTGTAACACCCAGTGCTCCATTCGATACATGCCCTCTTTAATACCCATCACCAGGCTAACCCATCCCCCCACCCCCCTCCCCTCTAGAACCCTGAGTTTGTTTCTCAGAGTCCATGGTCTCTCATGGTTCATCTCCCCCTCCAATTTCCCCCCCTTCATTTTTCCCTTCCTACTATCTTCTTTTTTTTTTTTTAACCTATAATGTATTATTTGTTTCAGGGGTACAGGTCTGTGATTCATCAATGTTACACAATTCATAGTGCTCAGCATAGCACATACCCTCCCCAATATCCATCACCCAGTCTCCCCATCCCTCCCACCTCCCCCTCCACTCCAGCAACCCTCAGTTTGTTTCCTGAGATTTAGAGTCTCTTATGGTTTGTCTCCCTCTCTGGTTTCATCTTGTTTCATTTTTTCCTCCCTTCCCCTATGATCCTCTGTCTTGTTTCTCAAATTCCTCATATTAGTGAGATCATATGATACTTGTCTTTCTCTGATTGACTTATTTCGCTTACCATAGTACCCTCTAGTTCCATCCACGTCATTGCAAATGGCAAGATTTTGGGTTTTTTGATGGCTGCATAATATTCCATTGTGTATATATACACCACATCTTCTTTATCCATTCATCTGTCGATGGACATCTTGGCTCTTTCCATAGTTTGGCTATTGTGGATATTGCTGCTATAAACATCGGGGTGCACATACCCCTTCAGATCCCTACATTTGTATCTTTGGGGTAAATACCCAGTAGTGCAATTGCTGGGTCGTAGGGTAGCTCTATTTTCAACTTTTTGAGGAACCTCCATACTGTTATCCAGAGTGGCTGCACCAGCTTGCATTCCCACCAACAGTGTAGGAGGGTTCCCCTTTCTCCGCATCCTCGCCAACATCTGTCATTTCCTGACTTATTGATTTTAGCCATTCTGACTGGTGGTATCTCACTGAGGTTTTGATTTGTATTTACCTGATGCTGAGTGATAGAACAGCAGAATTTATTGGAATTTCCAAACCACCAAAAATTTCAAACCTATAGTTACCAAAAATCATCTGGAGGTTTGAGGTCAGAAGCCCTTCTATTGGTGTAGGTCACCAGAGATGAACTTCAATGACCATGGGGACAGAAATGTAAAGTGAACAAGTGAAGTGAGCCCAGGTCTAGAGCAACGGGGAGTGGGGGGATTGTGCCAAATAGGACATGCTATGTCTAAAGGGAGAAACAGCTTGTCAGCTCTAGTGATGGAGATCAGGTGGTAATTCATACTCAGGATTGAAGTCCAGTGCTTCCAGAGAAACTAGAAATCTAGACTTTTTATGTGAAATTTCCTATTTTGAAAACACTGAGTAGGTCAGGAAGAAAAAACATGGATTTGTGGTTAAATCCTGCCTGTAGGTCACTGTTTATCATCTCCTAAGCATCACGCAAGTGGGGAGAGGGGCAGAGGGAGAGAATCTTCAAACAGACCACTCACTGAGCACAGAGTCCAACAAGGGGCTCAATTCCACAACCCTAAGACCATGATCTGAGCTGAAACCAAGAGTTGGATACCCTAACCAACTGAGCCACCCAGGCGCCCCCACTTAGGGTCATTCTTACTATATTTCTCTTAACTGTGAATGTGGAAAAATGCTCACAGACATTTGAAAATGAAGAGGTGATTGGAAATAAAGAGCTGATGATTCTAGTGTTGCTGTGTGTGGCATTTATTAGTGAATTGTACCTACCTTCATCATTCTTGAAGACTTCTAAGTCTTTTTTCCTGAGCTTCTTGTGGATGCTGAAGATTTCCTTGTTTGACCTTGAGGTGGCATTTTTTTTCCCTCTTATTTTGATTCCATCAGAGTTTCTCTTCCAGTTACTGTGGCTGCATAACAAATCACCCCAACAATTAGTGGCTCAAAACAACAGTCATTATTTAATATCTCTTACTGTTTCTGTGGATCAGGAATTCAGGAAGGGCTGAGCTTAGTGGTTCCAGTTAAAGGTATCCTCTGAGATTACAGTCAATGTCTGGGGCTGGCATAATCTCAAAGTCTTCTTTAGTCATATGTCAGTTACCTGGGTTGTACGATTTATTATTTTTTTTAAGATTTTATTTATTTATTTATTTGACAGAGAGAGAGACAGCAAGAGAGGGAACACAAGCAGGGGGAGTGGGAGAGGGAGCAGCAGGCTTCCTGCAGAGCAGGGAGCCCAATGTGGGACTTGATCCCAGGACCCTGAGCCAAAGGCAGATGCTTAATGACTGAGCCACTCAGGCGCCCCTGGGTTGTAAGATTTCAATAGCTTCTTTGGGGCTTCTTTATCTGGTTTTCTCTAGCATGGTGGTTTCAGAGTGGTTGGATATCTTACATGGTGGCTCAGGGATCCAAAAGCATTCTGCTCCGGGACAGAGTGGTAGAGAGCCAGAAGGAGAATGAGTGAGAGAAAGACAGTATCGCTCTTAATGATCTAGCCTTGAAGGTCCCACAGGGTCACTCCAGAGTGGAAAAGTAGACTCCATCTTTCAAAGGGAAGGGTGTCAAAGAATTTGTAGACATATTTCAAAACCACCCAGTTCCACAGGAAGATATAGAAAGCCAGTGATTCCATAGCCTTCTATAAGATGGACTTCCATGGAGAACCACCTGTAGCCAAGGGGCAGTCCCTTATCTTGTAGAGGGGCAAACCAAACCACAGGGCAGTAACTGGTTTGTACCAAAGAGGCAGCTCTGGTCAGTGGAAGAAGCAGGCTCACAAATCGAGATTCCTGATTTAAAAAACAAGAAATGTTTACCACGCCATGCTGCCTTCCAGTGCAGGGCAAAGCTCCACCCCCGCCCCCCCCCCCCAGGCTGTTCGGCATGGAGCAAAAGCTTGGTAGAAACTGGTTAAGATAGAAGACAATATCCCTCTGCCTTCTAACACCAGCATTGCTGTGGAAGTTGATCTCAACCTATCACCAGATAGGACTCTGTGTTTAGGTCCCACGTAAGAAAGGCTCCTCACAAAGTGTGTGTGTGCATGTGTGTATGTTTAGGAATCAGTGGCAGTGTGAAGGTTTACTATTTTTACGACCCATTATGAGCCTGCATTCCAAAATGTACTTAAGACACAGCTGTCTTTAATTGGTTTTCTCTATGAAAACCACATGTCATAATTGGACATATGAAATTTTATTACAGAGTTATTATAATCTTAATAACTTTGCTGTTTTAAAGTACTTTTGAGGAGTTATCTTTAATCCCATAGCATAAGTAACTCTGAGAATGAATATCCTGTAACTTTCTTTCTCTGTAAATAATATATTGCGTATTATTTTCATTTTTCAGGAAAGCCATTTCAGGGCCATTATTTCTGTTATCCAACGAAAAGGTTTTCTATCCACAAGAAGGTTTTCGAAGTTCTGTCTGATAATGAAATTACCTCTTTGACTGTATCAAAACTTGCCCTGTGATTTACAAAGAGATGATTATTCTTGGCAATTTTAAGACATTTGAAAGTAGGTAGGGGAGGTATCCATTGATCTTAATTTATAGTGTCAGTTGAAAAAGCCAGATTATCAATATAATTTGGTAGAAATGTCATCGTTTGCCCTCAGGAAAGGACCTGAGTGGGTTTATAACACAGATGGGATGAAAATACTCCTCATTACCCTGAATGATTGTGGTTGGATGGAAAGTTCTGTATATGTCCATTTTGGAATACATCCTAAGCTTCCTCTTGGGTGTGGTTCAGCTAAGCAGAGATACCAACATTCTTGTCCTGCCCCGTCCCACTCAAAACAAAATAGCATCCTGGGCTCTCCCCTAGGACTAGCCTCGTAGGGCCAGACCACTGCAGCCATCTTAGCCTTACTGCTGGCTCACAGAGCTGCAAATAGATTTGGGAGTGGCTGAGACCTCCCCGATTGGCATTTACTACATGTTTATCACATGCCAGAAATGCCATTTAGTTATTTTTTTTCTTTCAGTTATATTGAAATATACTTGACATACAACATACAAAGTTAAGCTGTACAGCAAAACGGAGGCCCCTGGGTGGCTCAGCCAGTTGAGCGTCCAACTCTTGGTTTCCACTCAGGTCATGATCTCGGGTCTTGAGATGGAATCCTGCATCAGACTCCATTCTCAGCGGGGAATCTACTAGAGATTCTCTCTCTCCCTCTCCCTCTGACCTCCCCCCACTCACACTCTTTCTCTCTCCAAAATAAATAAATCTTAAAAAAAAAAAACCTTGAAAAAAAAGGTGTACAGCATAATGACTTGACTTACACACATTGTTAAATGATTACCACAGTAAGTTTAGTGAACATCCACTACCTCATGTGGACACATGCAAAAAAAATAAGAAAAGAAAAAGAGGGGCGACTGGGTGGCTCAGTCAGTTAAGCATCCAACTCTTTATTTTGGCTCAGGCTGTGATCTCAGTGTCATGAGATTGAGCC